AGAGAGAGAGAGAATTTTTTAATATTTATTTTTTAGTTCTCGGTGGACACAACATCTTTGTTGGTATGTGGTGCTGAGGATCGAACCCGGGCCGCACGCATGCCAGGCGAGCGCGCTACCGCTTGAGCCACATCCCCAGCCCTAGAACTATCTTCAAAGGAAAAAACTGGCAGTCCTGCGTTAACAGGGGGACTAGGAAATGGAAGAAGGCAGAGGGAGAAAGAAACAAAGAGATAAGCCTTTGTCCACTAACAGCTTCCAAACTCCTTTGTGAAAGTTTAGAAAAATAAAGACTGAGAAGTAACACCTGAGAATCGACCACCCAGCTGGACATCATATGCCCATCAGCTGGACATCATATGCCCACGCAACTGTCTCCCTGACCCTCTGCCCAGCTCTCTCCGCGCCTGCTCGCCTGGCCTGGTCCGATCCCGGGCAACCTCCTCCCCTTCTCAGAGACTTCTCTGCAGTGAGAAGAACCCTATCTCTTGTGTACTCAAAGACCCCCAAGGTACCTCCCAACAGCTCTTTCCAAGTTAGAAGGCAGCATACTAGAAGCTTTGGGTATAACTCCTCCCAATTTCCCATTCAAGTGCAATGCTTCATAAAAACACACTGCAATGACAAACTGAATGTCACGACTTCACATCCACAGGACATCTAAACTGGGAGTCTAGATGTCGATGTCTGGGAAGAAAAGAGAAGGGGCAAACTCCATGAGGGCAGGCCATCTGGAGCCTAAAGCCCCCCGGTGCCAGAGTCTGCCGGGCGAGCAGCAGACGGAGCCCAGGCAGCCCCAGTGACTCCTCCCTGTGCTGCAGGACGAGTCGCAGCATCCAGAGGCAAGAGCAGGCTGCCTGCAGGCAGACATCCTCTCACGGTCCCTCAAAACCAGCACCCCCACAGTGAGACCCAAGGCAGGCAGAGTGGTCAGGCTCTGCTCCTGGCAACCCCAACACAGGTAGTCCACAGGTAATGATAGAAGGATGGGGAAAGTGCCCCGCCCCTCAGAGGGAGCTAGGCAGGAAGGCACTCACGTGATAGGGAAGTTGACAATGGTGGGGTTCTTCTCCACAAAGAAGTTGTTCTTAGTGAACCTCTTGATACAGAAGATCAGGTAGGGAGGCAGCTTGGTGAGCTGGAAGCGCTTCAGGAAGTTCTCYTTGTAAGTCTTATATTCCTGAGAATGGAATTACCACATTAGTGCCAGAGTTCCACAGGTGCTGGTGCAGGGACATGAGTTTGTTCGTTTGTTGTTTTTTTTAAATATAATTCTGCCTCATATCTAGACTTCTGAAGATACTTGGCTGAGGCCAGCAATTCAGCTGAGTGGTATTAAAAAGACCTTGATCATGGGCTGCTTCAGTCAGTGTATGATCACTCTGTCAACTACGACCACAATGCCTTGGCACCAGCTACCTAGGAAGCCAAGCAGCCAGAGGAAAGAGGCCATGCTGAAGCTGGTGACCACCAAGCAAGGCAGGACCTTCTGGCCTTCCCACAGTGAGAAGCCCTCACCACACATGTCCAGTAGAGGTGGCTACCATCTTCCCACACTTCTCCCTCTTCAAAGATCMCAAAACTTGGGCTGGGTGTGGCTCAGTGTGAGTGTGTATTTGGCAAGCATGAGGCCCAGATTCCATTCCCAGCACACACACACACAAAAAAAAAAGTCCCTGAATTATGGGTCAAAGCATCTGCCAGGCCATATTTCCTAAGGTCTTACTCAGTACACTGAAGAGGAGGAATGGCAAAGGAACGGGGTATCTGCCCAGCCCAAGGGGCTTTTAAGCTGGAGAACATGAGCCAGGCGCAGTAGCGCTCGGAGGTTGAGGCAGGAGAATCAWGAGTTTGAATCTCACCTCAGCAACACAATAAGGCCCTAAGAACTCAGTTGAGAAACCCTGTATATAAATAAAATACAAATAAGGGCTGGGGATGAAGCTCAGTGGTTAAGTTCCCCTGGGTTCAATCCCTGTACCAAAAACATGGTGGACATGAATCTGTTTTTAATAAATTCTTATCCTTAATAAAGAGAAAATAAAATTATCAAATTAATGCTGAAGTTAGTAAAATTCTAATAATAATCAAAAAGAAAGCACCAGTGACAGCCTCCTCCTTCGGAGCAAGGTCAGGAAGGAACAGCAGACCCCTCCAAGGACCATCCCACTGTATTGTTTAAAATTAGACAAGCTGGACGTGGTGGCGCACACCTGTAATCCCAGCAAATCACGAGGCCGAGGCAGGAAAATCACAAGTTTGAGGGCAGCCTCAGTAACTTAGCAAAACCCTAAGCAACTCAGTGAGACCCAGTCTCAATATAAAAAAATAAAAAGGGCTAGGGATGTGACTAAGTGGTGAAGTGCCCCTGGCTTCAATCCCCAGTACCCACCCCCCACCAAAAAAAGTTGGAAATGTCAATACCCCACTTTCAATAATAGAAAAACCATGCAGATGATCAACAGAGAAATGGAAGACCTAAACCACACATAAATAATTAGATGTGGCAGACACTTCTCAGAAGAAGATACGCAATCGATTAACAAATATATGAAAAACTGTTCAACTTCTCTAGCAATTAGAGAAATGAAAATCAAAACTACCCTTAAGATTTCATCTCACTCTGGTTAGAACGAACGGCAATTATCAAGAATACAAGCAATAGTAAGTGTTGGAGAGAATGTGGACGAAAAGGTACAGTCACTCACACATTGTAATGGGACTGCAAACTGGTGCAACTACTATGGAAAACAGTATGGAGATTCCTTAGAAAACTTGGAATGAAACCACCATTGACCCAGCTATCCCACTCCTTGCTCTATACCCAAAGGACTTAAAATCATCATATTACAGGGACACAGCCACATCAATGATTATAGCAGCTCAATTCACAATAGCTAAACTGTGGAACCAACCTAGATGTCCTTCAGTAGATGAATGGATAAAGAAACTGTGGTATGTATACACAATGTAATATTACTCAGCGTTAAAATGACACATGATCTTGTATTTCCCTGATTACTGTTGAACATCTTTTCATATATTTGTTGTCCATTTGTATATCATCTTTGTGAAGTGTTCTTTCAGATCCTATGTTGAAAAGCTGGCTGTAATCAATGACAGGAAGTGACAGGTGTTGGTKCAGACATGAAGAACAGAGCCCTCATAAGTTACGGGTAGGAGTGTAAAGAAAGTGGTRCAGGCACTTGGGACACAGTCTGCAGCTCCTCGAACATCTGAAGGCAGAGTTGCTACATGACCCAGCAGCACCCCTTCTTAACATGTGCCCTGGTGAAGGGAAAACACGCCCACATAGAAACTTGCAGACTAGTGTTGACATCAGCACTAACAGTTGAGAGGTGAAAACCAGCCTAAAGCCCACCAGCTGATGAATACACAAAATACAGCATGTTCACTCAATGGAATATAACTGGGCCACAAAAAGGAATGAGGTCCTAACCCATGTCGTGCTGCAACATGCATGCAGCCATCACCCAKATGAAGGTTTAGAACACTAAGAAACAGCTTCGTGACAGATGCAGTGCGCGTGTCTATCACCCCAATGACTCAGGAGGCTGAGGCAGGAGAATGGTGAGGGCAAGACCAGTCTCAGCAACTTAGTAGACCTGTCTGAAAATAAAAAATACAAAGGGCAGGGCTGGGACATGGCTCAGCAATAGCACACTTGCCTAGCATGCTTATGGCCCTGGGTTCAATACCCAGCACCACAAAAAAAGGAAAATGAAAATAAAAAAGGCTGGGGATACAGCTCAATAGTAAGAGCACCCTGGGTTCAATCAATCTCCAGTACCAGGAAAGGAAAAAAAAAAAAAATCATATTACATCACCACTATTAATCAATTAGTTAAAAGTTCTGTACATCATCTGTAAACATGTTATAGCTCTGTATCTGCTTAAAAGCTAAAGCCAGAAGAAACTGTCTGTACTAGTCCACGCTAGTATTATTAAAATAAGAATGAGGGGCTGGGGTTGTGGCTCAGCGGTAGAGCGCTCGCCTAGAATGTGTGAGGCACTGGGTTCGATCCTCAGCACCATATAAATACAAAATAAAGATATTGTGTCCACTTATAACTAAAAAATAAATATAAAAAAAAGAATAAATTTAGATCAATACTAAGGTCTCATGGGAATCTTGACATTACGTAAGCTTAAAGAAAAACTTWAAAAAAAGGCTGGGGATGTGTCTCAGTGATAGAGCACCCCTGGGTTCAATACCAGTACCAAAAAAAAAAAAGAGAGAGAGAGAGAGAGATGGCGTGTTTTCCTGCCTTTGAGTTTCTGAAGCACATCTGAGGTGGGAGCTCGGAGGGACAGAAGAGACATAGAAGGGGGCACGTGAGTTAAGAGCCGAGACTCCAAGGAATTCAGGAGCTTGATCAAAACGACACACTTTATAACAAATGCATTACATACAAGTGGCAACACTCAAGTACAAAAAGAAAATGATGGGCAGGGTTACAGCCTAGTGGAAGAGCACTGCCCGCTGGCCCAGGCCCTAGGCGGTGGGAGCAGGAAGATGAGGAAGTCAAGAGGGCAAGGGAAGCCTGGCAGCACAGAAGGACACGTGGCTACCTTCTCAGTGATGCCATTGAACTTGGCCAGGATGTTGAAGAGCGGCACCTGGGGGATAATGAGCTGTTCCTTTTCGTCCTTGTAGAGCGGGGCAGTAGGAAGGTCCAGCGTCAAGTACATGAACGTAGACTCCACCATCGTCTCCTGGTACTCATCATTATGCAACAGCTGCTCTTTTTCTTCTGCTGGCTAGAAACAGGCAAGAAGAAACAGGAGGGAAGGCATGTGAGCAGCACAGAGCAGGTGCCAGAGCCTGGGCAGTGTCCATGACCACACTATTCAAGAATCCACAGCTCGCTAGGTGTGGTAGCGTTCACCTATAACCCCAGTTGCCTGGGAGAATGAGGCCAGCCTGGACTTAGCAAGACCCTGTCTCAAAATAAGATAAACCAGCTGGGGTACAGCTCAGTGTGAACACCCTGGGTTCTATCCCTAGTACCAATCAAACAAACAAAACAGCCTCTTCTGGGTTCATTGCTCATAGACAGACTATCCCAAGGCTCTGTGACAGCAGGGGAGGCATGGCTGAGCCTTCTCAGAACACCAGCACACTCGGGGCCAGGCCCTCCCTCCAGCATGCTACCCCAGCCCCTGCCTCCAGAGCCCACAGCCACCCCACAGGGGCCTGAGCAGAGGCTCTGGGCATCTCTATCCTCCAAGTGTCTCTCTGCTTCTCCCGAGTCCACTCAGGCAACACAGATCAGTCCTGTACCGGCTCCACCCACTCACCAGATCAGGATGGGGAAGCTTCTTAGTGAAGATCCGCATGGACCCCTGGAAAACATCCGTCACAATTGCTGCACAAACAAAAGGCAAGCACAAACACTGTGAGCCTGGGAAGCATGTCAGAAACACATCGCAATTTCTGAAATAAACCTGCAACTTTCAGCATGAGACCCAAAGAWGCCCTCCCTAAACAGAAGCTTCCCTGGGAAATAGACACCATGCGGTACTTTCATAATTGTTGTGGAAGTGATCACATGTGTATCCTCCCCAAGGCACATGGGCCCTCTAAGACAGGGCCTGGCCCATGAGAGACGCATGAAATGATGAATGATTCGCAGAGCCTGAAGATGCATGACTCAGAAAAAATTCACAAGCAACCGGGCACAGTGGTACATCCACACAATCCTGGCAACCCGAGAGGCTGAGGCAGCAGGATTTCAGGTTTGAGACCAGCCTCAGCAACTTAGTGAGACACTGTCTCAAAATAAAAAATAAAGAAAGGGTTGGGGGGGCTGGGGATGTGGCTCAAGCGGTAGCGCGCTCGCCTGGCATGCGTGCGGCCCGGGTTCGATCCTCAGCACCACATACCAACAAAGATGTTGTGTCCGCCGAGAACTAAATAAATAAATAAATATTAAAAAAAAAAAAAAGAAAGGGTTGGGGATGTAGCACAGTAGTTGAGTACCCTTAGGTTCAATTCCCAGTACTGAATGTGTGTTTGTGTGTGTATGTGTGTGTGTATTTTCACAAGCAAACAGGGCCCAACCAAGGAATTGCCCTAACTATATGCTGCCCACAAGGGAAATAAAGTCCAGTCTACACTGGACACAAAAGCAAAACTACAGACTRAGATTTGGGCAAGAGCAGAAGCAAAGGCCTAGGGGCTCAGTGGTAAAGCACTTGCCTAGCATGTGTGTGGCACAGGGTTCAATTCTCAGCACCACATACAAATAAATGAATAAAATAAAGGTTCATTAACATCAAAAAAATATTTAAAAAAGAGTAGAAGCAAAGCAAAGAGAGATCAAGCACTCTGGGTCCTAGAATCCTCCCAGGACGTAAGGCGAGGATGTAGAAGACATGCACAAGATGAAGACACCAGGTGGGGCAGGCCTCAAGTAAGAGAGTACAAGGCCCGCAGGACACCTCCAGGGCCCTCAACTCAGAAGTCAAGAAGTCTACCTAGGTCTCTACAATGGCTGGCCCAGCTCTGCAGCCTTTGAGCTGATAGATGTGTAGATACCCCTAAGCCAGTGAAGACAATGAGTGGCACAGGGACGCTAGGTCTGGGACCCTAGCAGGGACCCCAGCAGGCCAGCCTCCTGCCTCCAAGTACAGATCCAGCAAGCGTGAAGAACTGGCAGCGAATCAGCTCTAACCTTCAACTCAAAGGCCAGGCCACCACCCACATTAGTGCTTGCAGTGGCAAGAGCCTGGGGGTCCATAACATGCTGTCCTGCATGTTGAAACTGGGTCAGGATTTCTGGGGCACTGTTGTATCCATTCCTGATAAAAAATCTTATTATAAACAGGAATAAATCAGATTAGCATGTGAGGAAGTCAAACAGACAAGTTGACCTAAAAAGTTATTTTTATTTTTGTGGTGCACCTGCATCGTTAAAAGAAATTTTAATTGACACGTAATAATTGTACAGTGTAACAATTTAGAACATGTATACAGTATGTAATGATCAAATCAKGATAGCTGGTATAACTGTCACTTCAAACATTTACCATTTCTTTGTGTAAGAATATTCCAAATTCTCTCCACTGCCTATTTCAAAACCCAAAGTAAAGTCCTGTTGCCCAGTTACCCTACCGTGCTACACCAAAGCATCAGACGCTCTCCAGCTGCACCCTCCACCCTGCCTCAGCCTCCGGCGACCACTCTTTACTCTCTGCTACCAGACTCTCTCAGCTCCCACGAGTGAGAATGTCCAGGATTTGCCTTTCACTTGACTTGTCTTCCAGGCACTTCTGCCACAGGAACRGCTGGGGCTGCAGCTCAGTGGCAGAGCACCTGCTGAGCACACCTGAAACCTGGGTTCAACCCCCAGGACCACAAAAAATAAAAAAACCACTGGGCATAATTATCACATTCTAACATTAAAAAATTATGGTCAGGAGCTATTCAAGAATAAAATTTGGTGTATACAATAAATCCCAACCCTCTGCCCACAAAAGAGACAAACAGTTAAGAACAAGAGGACATGAAGCTGTAGTTTTTTAAAGATGGACCAGAAAAGAAAAACAGCTGTTTTATAAGCAACAAGACTTACTCTTCTTTTTCTTCTTTGTGCCCCCCAGGGCCGAGTGCAGAGCATTCAGAAACCAGGACAGAAAGTCGACTCCGTCTCCTGGGGAAAAGGAGGCATGGAACATGAGGCAACTGGAGGCAGGAGGGGAAGCCCGCAGCCGGCCACGCTGCAGTCCTGCTACCCACTCCCAGAAGAGGCCCTCAGGCCAGGCCGMAGACTACCACCACCATGCGCTCAGAGACTATGACTTCTGTCCTAGGGAATGAGCCAACATTACCACCCCAGTGTGGGTGTTACTTCCTATCACCCCAAGTCCCCAAGGGGCCTGGGCCCACTCCTTACCTACTCACCGATCATGCCTTACTTCTCCTTTCCTAAGTGCCTGAGACTCTTAAAAGCCACTAAGTTGTTCCCCAGTCTGCTGTCACATGTTCACATAGAAGTCTTCACTGGCCCCCACCTTTGACAGAAGAGAATCGCAACTCCCACAGTGGCACATAAACCAGRAATTTGGTCCTTTCTTCCCTGTCTCCACCTCAGCTCTCCACTGACCCCAGAATCCAAGGTCCAGCTAAGTGCAGGCAGTCAGCCTGGATCCCGTACCTCTATGCTCCTACCCAGAATGCCTGCCCACAACCCGCCTCCCCCTGTTCAGCTGGGGTCCTTGTCTGTGTTCCCTCCAGAGCACACTCTGCCCTTTCTTACCGCAGCGCCTAACACTCTGCAATTACCTTTCTCTGCAACTACCTTGCCTTTAGCCTTTAGCTCCCTGTGGCTCCAAAGTCTAGCCTCACAAATGCATGCTGAGCAAACTAATGTGCACACTAGCAGACAGCACCCAAGATCCAGGTACTAAGAGTTATTTTATTCACAAGGCAATGACAACCTGGGCCCAAAGAGATGACAGCAACCTGAGGTTCATCAGAGGACCCATGTGTAGACCTGACAAGGTGAGAAGCACAGGTGGCAGGGACTCAGCATGGGCTGCTGCCTTGCCTAGCCTCTCGGCATTCCCTACACCAGACAGTCCACCTCACCAAACAAGACAGGCCTTCTGTTCAGCTTCTGAGACTCTGAGCAGAGAGGAGTAAGGAACCCACCCAAGCTACTCACTCACTCACGACTATCATCAAGATTCACTGCAAAGCAGAAGTACATTTTCTTCCTCAAACTAGCTTTGTTGTCCTCAAATCAGAGAAACACAGATGACCTTTCTGACCTGTGTTTCTGCCTGTGGTGCTGGGCAAATGCTCTGCCACAGAGCCTCCCTCCAGCCCTTGCTCCTTACCTTGTTTGGTGATCTGAAAGGTCTTCCTGCTGCAGAGGACCACAGCCTGGAGCATCTCGTGGGGAGAGACATGAGCCTTGAAATTTCGAGGGTTCCAGAGCTTTCTCATCAGCTCTCCAAAACGCTGGACCAACAAGAACATGATGTCCCCTGGAGGACGCTTGATGTTCTTGTAATTATCTTCTTCTAGGAAGTAGTTCCGGAGAGGAGGAACATTAGACAGAGCCTGGAAATCAAACACTATACTTAATCCAAAGCCCCTCTGCAGGGTCGCTGGGCCCAGCTCTTCCAGCCAACATTCTTCTGGTAGAGCCCTGCAAGGGGCCTGGGACAGCCTGAAGAGTCCAAAGGAAACAGACCCTTTGAGAATCCTATCTAGACATGATATTACAAAAATATCCTTCACACTAGGTTCCAGAATACAGTTCTGCAGACACTTGGTAGATATGGACATCACAGAGAAGTTAATAAAAAGGTATTCAAATCGCTATCTACTGCCACTCAATACTTCCCTTTCTTACTCTAAGTAGACCTGTGTCAATACTGAAATTCACGAGGTACTAAGGGCCAAAAACCAAGTACTCTTTCATCACCTCCTTTGACTGGAGTAGAGACAACTATCTGGGGAACACTAGCCCCCACTTCTCGACACCATACTAAAATAATCTGACCATGCATGTATGAGTTTGGCAGAATGAACTAACTACAATGTGTAACAATAAAGCTCTAACAAACAAACAAACAAACAAACAAAAAACCTGAAGGAAAAAATACGAAAATCATAAAATTTGATGTTTCTCTAATAAAACCATGCAATTGCACATAAAACTGAATGTACTTGTTATGGTGAAAAATGGCCAGACATTTATTTATTTATTTATTTATTTATTTAATATTTATTTTTTAGTTATTGGCGGACACAACATCTTTGTTTGTATGTGGTGCTGAGAATCGAACCCGGGCCGCACGCATGCCAGGCGAGCGCGCTACCGCTTGAGCCACATCCCCAGCCCCTGGCCAGACATTTAGAAAACAAATCTGACAGGGGTAGGAAAGATGGTGGAATGAGATGGACATCATTACCCTAGACACATGTATGATTGCATGAATGGTATGTTTCTATACCATGTACAAGCAGAGAATTGAAATGTTGCWTTCCGTTTGTGTACGATGAATTGAAATAAAAAAATTTTTAAAAACACACTCAAAAAAACAAATCTGACTTCATCAGGCAAAAAGAGAAAAACTAGTCATGCAAGCTTCAGGAAGAAAGGCATGGTTGCTGATCTCAACTCAGAACTGGGAGGGAGACCACAGAACAGACCTTGAATACAAGCAGAGTATACCCTGGATCATTCCCAATGGGTTCATGAGTCCCAGAACATTTTCCCTTGGCAACCCACTTAGGAAGGAGGACAGAGGTTTTCTGCTAACTACGATAGGTTCAGGCAGGGAGGTCTTGGGACCTGGAGATCACCATAACCTTAAGGGGATCAGGYCTCCTCAGACACTAGGATAACAGGCATGGGTCACCGTGCCCAGCTACATATAGCACAAGCTCAGCTAAAGGAACACGGGCTTGATGCTCAGGCAGTAATTACTAAAAAAGAGAACTACTTTCAAAAAKAGGGGAAGTATAGATAAAGTTAACCCTAATTCTCAGTTATCCACCTTATAGAGAGAGGTGCTCTCAGCGCTCATTACATCTAGTGACAGGCAGCCTCAGAGAGAGACTAGAGTCAGGTCTCCTCAACTCTACTTCAGTGGGGACATCACCAAAAGAGGGTTTGTTCACCTAATATTTTAATAAATAAAGAGACTCACCCATGAGAATTAAGATTCAGAAAGCCAGGACTAACCATCCTACCCATGATAGTTTTCAAAGTCGTGAGAGTTTATAGGAGGAGGAGTCTGAAACATCTCTCTCCACCTAAGAAAATGACCTTTCCAGGAACTAGTTACCACACCAGGAACCATCACCAAATAGACAGGTCTTTACATTCTTTTACACAATTCTTTGTTTTCTCCATTTAAAAAAAAATTGTTCTTTTTAGTTATCCATGACAGTAGACTGTATTTTGACCTATCATACACACAAGGAGCATAACTTCCCATTCTTGTGGTTGTACATGATGTGGAGTTTCTACTGTCTTTCCCATTTTCATCCCTCCTTCCTTTCCCCCACTTAGCTTTTACACAATTATTTTTTGTGGAGGCGGTGGGGACCAGGGATTAAACTCAGGGGCACTCAACTACCGAGCCACGTCCTCAGCCCTATTTTGTATTTTGTTTAGAGACAAGGTCTTAACGAGTTGCCTAGTGCCTCGCTTTTGCTGAGGCTGGCTTTGAACTTGATCCTCCTGCCTCAGCCTCCTCAGCCGCTGGGATGACAGGCGTGTGTCACTGCGCCCAGCTACATAATTCTTTATGGTAAAAATACATTTAAAAAGTTTAGCGTACTGCTCCCCAGCTGCCATGAGCTGGCACCTTCTACTATGATGTTCTGCCATGGAGCTGGTTGACAGAACGAGTTATCTGAAAGCTTTCAAGAATGGTGGGCGTTGATCAATTATAACTACTTCCAGGATCTCATACGAAGACAGTGGCAGATCAAATCCCTTCAGTGCTGGAAGCGGTGGCATACGCCTGTAATCCCAGCTGCTCAGGAGGCTAAGACAAGAGTATTTCAAGTTCAAGGCCAGCCTCAGCAACTTAGCAAGGCCCTAAGCCACTTAGCAAGGCCCTGTCTCTAAATGAAATTTTAAAAAGAGCTAGGGATGTTGCTCAGTGGTTAAGTGCCCCAGGATTCAATCAAAAATTTTAAAAAACAAAATTTAAATGTTTTACCAAAAAATTTTTAAAAAACCACCACCCTTCAGTGCAAAGGATTATATGATCAAACTCCTCACTGTGAATTATTAGGTGCCAGCAAAAGAGGCCCTGATCCCAAGGACACAAGATATCAGAAGAACAAATCCAGGGATACTTTTGGATGTTGAGCTTATCTGATCTCAAGATGGCCCCATAAGGTTCTTGAACTCCAGACTTTCCCAAGAACAATCGTGCAGATCACATCTCCTCTAGCTGAGTACAGGTCTCCAGTGGAGCTGGCAACAGGACCCACACTGGAGTGCCTGGGACTGGTCTCCACCCTTCTTGTCAGAATGCAGTCCTGTCCTAATTTTACTTCTGAGAGGAGAACCATATGGGGAGGGGAGGCTGGCAAGGGGAACAGACAGCTGCAATTGGGATCTAACTCACAGTTCTGAATGATATTTTAGAAAGACTTCCTGAAACATTCTTTATCAGAGTGCTGAACAAGGAATGAATACCTGTCCCCTCTTTTCTGGGTCCTTGGCTTTCTATGGGACAGTCACCTGGCACTGAATTGTRGCACCCTGAGCTAAGCGTATCTGTTCCCTCTGAGATAAGAACTCCATCCCTTTCTTTTACCAAGATAACACTTCCTGTAAAGAATTTAAACAGCCATGATTTTCCAATATTTTTAAATATTGCACCAATTATTTAAATTTATGCTTATCACCAACCTTTTATGAAAATGTTTTGGATTTTAAACTGTACTAGGTCTAAAACAGACTCATGGACCAATGGTACGGAATAGAGGACCASAGACAAACCCAGATAAATACAGTTATCTCATACTAGACAAAGGCGCCCTAAACATACATTAGAGAAAAGATGGCCTCTTTAACAAATGGTGCTGGGAAAACTGGAAATCCATATGTAGAAATGAAATTAAACCCCTATCTCTCACCATGCACAAAACTCAACTCAAGTGGATTAAGGACCTAGGCATTAGACTAGAGACCCTGTACCTAATAGAAGAAAATGTAGGCCCACCTCTCCATCATGTTGGCTCAGGAACTGAATTCCTCAACAAGACTCCTAACGCACATGAAGTAAAATCAAGAATCAATAAATGGGCCAGGCATGATGATGCATGCCTTTAATCCCAGCAGCTCAGGAGGCTGAGGCAGGAGGATCATGAGTTCAAAGCCAGCCTCAGCAAAAGTGAGGTACTAAGCAACTCAGTGAGACCCTGTCTCTAAATAAAATACAAAATAGGGCTGAAGATGTGGCTCAGTGGTTGAGTGTCCCTGAGTTCAATCCCAAATTACCGCCCCCCCGCCCCCCCCCAAAAAAAGAAGAATGGAATGGCATGAAACTAAAAAGCTTCTTCACAGCAAACAACGTGAAAGAGAGCCTAGAGAATGGGAGAAAATCATAACCGTCTGCACCTCAGAGCATTACTCCACAGGATATATAAAGAACTCAAACAACTTAACACCAAAAAAACAAATAATAACCCAATCAATAAATGAGCAAGGAATTGAACAGGCACTTCACAGAAGAAATATGATCTCTCAACAAATTAAAAAAAAAACGCGTGTGTATGTGTGTGTGTGTATGTAAATATATATAAAATGCTCAATATCTCAAGCAATTAGAGAATTGCAAAAATCAAAATTACACTGAGATTTCATCTCACTCCAGTCAGAATGGCACAGTTATCAAGAATTCAAGTAACAATAAATGTTGGCCAGGATGTGGGGGAAAGTACACTCACACATTGCTGGTGGGACTGCAAACCAGTGCAATCACTCTGGAAAGCAATGTGGAGATTTCTCAGAATACCTGGAATGGTATTTGACCTAGTTATCCCACTCCTCAACATATACCCAAAGGACTTAAATCAGCATACGGTAATGTAATGTGTCATATCCATATTTATAGCAGCTCAATTCACAAAAGCTGAACTATGGAACCAACATAGGTGCCCTTTAATAGATGAATGAATAAACAAATTGTGGCATATATACACAATGGAATATCACTCAGTCATAAAGAAGAATGAAGTTATGGCATTAGCTAGTAAATGGATGGAACTGGAGACTACCATACTAAGTAAAAGAATCCAATCCCCAAAAACCAATGGCTGAATGTTCTCTCTGATATGTGGATACTAACACATACTAGCGGGATGGGGAACAGAAGTTCAATGGATTAGACAAAGGGGAATGAAGGGAAGGGTGGGAATCCTAATAGGAGAGACAGTAGAATTTTTCAGATATCACTTTCCTATGTTCACATATGAATACACAACCAATGAAACTCCACATCATGTACAACCACCAGAATCAGAAGTTACACTCCATGTACGTGTGATGGGTAAGAATACACTCCACGTCATGAATAACTGAAAAGAACCAAATATAAAACCCTTCCTAGGTCTCCTCCTGTTCCCATATAAGCAGCCCCAGGATTTAGGGCACGGACTGGTCAGAGCGCAATCTCTGTCTGGAAGAGGCACTGGCAGTCCACACACCTGGGAAGGAAGGAGTCCCTTCTGCCCCTGGCTTGGAAGTGGCTGCTCAGCGTCTTCCTGCTGCACCCACTGCAGGAATCCATATCTCTCTCTCTCTCTCTCTCTCTCTCTCTCTCTCTCTCTCTCTCTCTCTCTCTCTCTCTCTCGCAGCCTTCGTTGCGTTACACAATTTGTCCTCTAAAATTCAGGCTTTTCTAATTGAAAACATCACACTCGATTTTCCCCCCAAGTTGTCTTTTTAATGTAAAATTAGATACTTAATTTATGTAAAAACTAATCTTTTAAAAAAAATATTTAGTTATAGTTGGACACAATACCTTTATTTATTTATTTATTTATTTATTTTTATGTAGTGTTGAGGATCAAACCCAGATCCCCACACGAGTGCTCTGCCACTGAGCCATAGCACCAGCCCTGAATTAGTAATCTTTTATAAAGACAAAAAAAAAAAAAAAAAAAGATTTAAAGGCCAAGTTAAAAACTGCAAGAAAATACTTGCAATATAGCAACCTGTACAATAAAACCAAATGATGGTTTTCTTATATATTTCATAAAGCTCAATAAGCTGAAACAATAGGGAAAAGAGTACTTACGACCCATTCATTTAAATACATAAATTATACACATACACACAAATAATTAAGGTTGGAAGTGATCCAAAACACCTAAGTTAAAAATAAAGATACCCAGGACTGGGGTTGTGGCTCAGTGGTAGAGCAGTTGCCTAGCACACGTGAGGCACTGGGTCAATCCCTGGCACCACATAAAAATAAACAAATAAAAGGTACTATGTCCATCTACAACTAAAAATATATATATTTTTATATACATATATATATTTATATATATTTGTATATAAAAATAAATAAAGATACCTATAAAATAGAAAAAATTTTCTCAGTGCTAACAGTGACAACACAAGATGAAAGAACGCTCTTTGGGGTTGCTGGTGGGTTTAGAGATTGTTCAAAACACTTATATCTGGAATCTAGATCCTATGTACACTAGTATAAGAACGGGTGAATCAATTCCAACTCAATAGCATGTAATCATTAAGGATGCTGCCAGGGATGTAGTGAATCAATTCCAACTCAATAGCATGTAATCATTAAGGGGCCAGGGATGTAGGTCAGCAGTGTAGCCCCTGCCTAGCAAGCAAGAAGCCCTGAGTTGAACCACTAAAAAGAAGAGAGACATGTACATACTATGTTGCTTCATAAAACAGTTATGTGCATTTTTAAATTACAGAAAATAAATATAATAAAAMGTGTCACAAAAAGTAAAAAGACTAGGGGCAGCAAGGCCCTGGGTTCAATTCCTCAGCACTCACCCCCCACCAAAAAACAAACAAACCAGGAGGGGGAATGAATAAACAAATTGTGGCATATATACACAGGGCTGGGTTGTAGCTCAGCTGTAGACGCTTGCCTAGCACATGTGAGGCAGGGGGTTCGACTCTCAGCACCACAAAAATAAATAAAGATATTGTGTCCATCTACAACTAAAAAAAGAGAAGAGACTGCACACTGGTCACAAGAGACAATGTGAACTACGTCAGATTTTAAGGCAAAATAATCATGTTACCATGTGACAGAGTATTATGCTATACACATTTAGAAAAAGTTCTATTTCTTTGTTTCTAAAATATTTTTTAATTGTAGATGGACATAATAGCTTTATTTTTTTATGTGGTTCTGAGAAGTAAACCCAGTACCTCACATGTGCCAGGCAAGTGCTCTACCACTGAGCTACAACCCCAGCCATGTTTGTTTTGGGGACTGGGAATTGAACCCATGGGTACTTTACCACTGAATAACATCTCCAGTCCTTTTTATTTTGAGGCAGGGTCTAAGTTGCTAAAGGTCCCCTTAAGTTGCTAAGGCTAGCTTCAAATTTGTGACCCTCCACCTCAGCCTCCTTAGTCACAACAATTCTAGAACTATATAAGTACTCCAGGACAGAATACTAAGGAGAGAAAGGAATAAGGCTTTTACTTTATAATTCATATACCTTCCCTTCAATAATCCTGTTTATGTCTATAATTTTTTAAATCAATTTTTTCTTGGTGAAGTGAGATTCTGCTTACCAACATTTTCTAATTTTTCTATAATAAACATATATAACTTGTGTAAATAAAAAAATTTGGGGGGGAATAAGACAACAGCCCACACAATGAACATCTACACCATAAAAAAGAAATGTGCCTGATGCAGAGGCCACACCTGTAATACCAGCAACTTGGGATGCTGGCAGGAGAATCACAAGTTCAAGCCCAGCCCAGGCAACTTAGTGAGACCTTGTCTCAAAATAAAAAATAAAAAGGGCTGCGGGTATAGTTCAGTGATAAGAGTTTCCCTGGGTTCAATACTCAGCATTGGGGAAAGAAAAATTCTTATTTGGTATTTCCTGGCAACATGGATTCTATCCYTCCTTCCCCAGCAACTCCAAGGTCATGAAAAAGCTGGAAAATGCCTAAGCATCTGGCAGCAGCCCCATGAGCAGAAACAGGAAAATTTGGCTTACTGCAGAACAAATACTCAAGGGAAGCTCCTAGCCAAACCCTTTGACCACACTCAGCAAGAAYGCAGCAATGTCTTGGCAGACTCGATACTGCTTCTGCCACCCCCTCCCCTCAGCCTTCCTATCTGGATCCTACCTGAAGGACGGCATTGGCATAGTCGTTGGCCTTTATGTTATTCAGTCCCACAATACCCGGCAGATAAGTGGTACCATCATACGCCCGGGACAATTTGGCTTGCTTGTCCAAGTTTGCAATTTGCTGCTTTGTAAAAGTGGGCTTCAACACATACTGTGAAGAAAAAAAAAATCCTACGTTATTTTTGAGATATAAACAGAGTTCAGAAGATATATCCAGAACAGTAATTTCTACCAAAAACCAAAAATGCTTTGGTCATGAGCACCTCCCACACACCCCAAAAGACCCGCAAGCAACAAGGATGAAGACGAAGTAATTCAGCACAGCTCCTCTCCACACTGCTGGTCAATCCCTCTCAACAAGGGGTTCTCCATATCCCAAATCAATAAATCCCACATCTGTCTTCAACCTCATGTCTGACCATCTCCAAGATAAATGGCTGTCACACTGTAGGACACTCGATCTCTAGAGACAGCAGGAGCCTGAGCCTTACCCAGTATGGCATGTGTGCCTAGCTTAGGAGTGCAGAACCTCCTCCCCTTGGGCAGGACTGGGGACTCTAGGATTCCCTGGGAGTGGACGGTGGGAGCAGAATACTCCCAAAGTTACAGACTGGATGGAGGTCATCGTGAACTCCCTTTGGAACCTCAAATTTATCCCAGTTTCTCCATCTATCCAGATTCTCCCTGATTACAGGTGAGGTAGTTGTCAGGGAACCCTGAGTTGGCTCACAGAAGAATCTGCCTCAACTGGGTATAATTAAACAGACTGTAATCCCAGTAACTCAGAAGACTTGACGCAGGAGGAACGCCAAGTTCAAGGTCAGCCCCAGCCATTTAGTAAGACTATGTCTCAAAATTTAAAAACAGGCTGGGGATGCAGCTCAATGGTAGAACACTTGGTTAGCATATGTGAACTCCTAGAACCACACACATACAAAACTGCCCCAAGCCAGCCTCCCTGGACACAGACACACACCGTGATATCCTCCAGGGAGGAGTCGATGATCTCATAGTTGTCTGGAAGGCAGTAAAACTTGAGGGTGTGGAGGTTGAGGAAGACATGGTGGCTAAACTGGACGCTGTGGATGTAGGCATGAGACTTCAAACCTCGGCCTATAGGGAAGGACAAGAGACTATAAGAGGGGCAGGCCCAAGGAAGACACAGACAAGATCTGCTCCTCCTTCCCTTATTTTGTATTGGAACATGTTAAAAGCAGCACAAAGTATTACACCATCCATAAACGAATCTCCACATGAGCCTATCTCATCACAAGATTAGCAAAAAACAATAGCATGTTAGTTATTTCACTCGCTGGAAAGAGGTTGGGGAAACTGATTTCAATACAAAATATATACACTTGCATACAAGAGCTAGATTCCTAAGTATCAGAAACTAGGACTATCTATGATGATATCTGACATTATGTAGGTAAATACACATGCCCTGTGATAGCCCCATCACCCAGTCCTTAACCTCCAACTGTTCATATTCAGACTGTCCTGTTCCTGTGCACTTCACTCAGGCAGCCACTGCTGTCTAGGATCTTCCTCCCCTGCTCTGTTCAAAACCTGCATGTCAGCTGGGYGTATACCCATAATCCCAGCAGCTGGGGAGGCTGAGATAGGAGGATCGTGAGTTCAAAGCCAGCCTCAGCAATGGCGAGGCTCTCAGCAACTCAGTGAGACCCTGTCTCTAAATAAAACACAAATAGGGCTGGGGATGTGGCTCAGGGGTTGAGTGACCCTGAGTTCAATCCCTGGTACCAAAAGGAAAAAAAAAACAAAACCCCTGCATATCCTGCCAGCTCAAGTTCTACCTCACTTCCTCCATGAAGTCAACATACACCCCCAGTCAGCACTGACCTCTGCATTTTTCAGCTCCTACTGCCCCTATTTTTATTCACTGACACACAGTCTAGCAGGAATCTTTTTGGTCTTATAGGATTCACCAATTGTTGTCAAAACCGGACTTCTCATAAGCTCCTTAGAAGAGCAAAGAATGAAGTTTATACCTTGTTTGAAACATCTGCCATACTATGTGCACAGTATTTGCTTAGTCTGAATGAGGTGAAATAAATTTTTAGAAAAAAAACAGAATAAAAAAGTCCTTAGAACAAAAGTAGTGCTGGGGGTATGGCTCAGTAGGAGAGCATTTATCTACCAGCATGTGTAAGGCCCTGGGTTCTATTCCCAGGACCCCACCCACCCACACACACACAAGAAAGACATAAGTAGCCGGCACGGTGCCTCACGACACTAATCTCAGCAGCTCAGGAGGCTGAGACAGAATGATTGTGAGTTCAAAGCCAGCCTCAGCAACGGCACAGTGCTAGGCAACTCAGTGAGCCCCTGACTCTAAATAAAATACAAAATAGGGCTGGGGAGTACCCCTGAGTTCAATCCCTGGTGCCAAAAAAAAAAGGAAAGATATAAGTACAGAAAACATTAAAGTCAGAAATCCAAAGTCTTTGGCTTTCACAGAACTAGTCCTCTATCCCTCTCAGATATATTCAGGTTCTGACCACAGACCTTTTTATTGGTTTTCTAAGAATATTCCAATGTCCCTGGAACAAAGAGGGATTACAAGACATGACTCTCAAGAACAAACTGCTTTCTTAAAATAAATAAATAAATAAAAGAAGACCTGCAGATAGCTCTGAAAATATTCACTCACCTTGAAAGTACTTGCCACACACCAGACAGGCATATGCATTGATATGTGAAAGGGAGATAGAGCACAGTTTCTCAAAGTCAAAGTCCAACACACTCCTAAAAGAATCAAAACAACACACAAAAAAAGACCACATAATCAATAGGTCAGTGTCTGGGAGGGCCCCAAACAGCTGTGTTGGCTTCAAGTCTAAGAGGGACCCAAACAGAGCCCCCGATTCCACATGTCCCACAGTACCCTGCAGAGAATGGTTTAGAATCAAGTGTAAATTGTGGAGTGCATTAATCATTCTCCATTTCCAGCTACCATGCCCAAGGCAGTGTGGAGGTGTCTGTACCTGACACATAATGCCCATGACCCTTTTCCTTAATAGAAGTAGTGTGCACTTATCCATGGTTTCTACACTGGTGGGTTCAACCAAACACATCAAAAGTATCTGGGAAAAAACAAAAACTATATCTGTAATAAACAAGTACAGACATTTTTCCCCTGTCATTATTTCATAACCAATACAGTATGGTACCTATTTATACAGTACTTATATTAGCATTAATTAGTGACCTAGGATAATTTAAAGTGTGCAGGAGGATGAGTATAGATCACATGTAAATACCATGGCAATTCATTTTATTTAAGGGACTTGATTATCCACAGATTTTGGTATCCATGGGGGTTCTTAGTACAGGTCCTCCATGTACCAAGGGATGATTATATTTGTAGCCAGTTAAGAACCCTTCATTATCATGACCTTCTCTGAAGGGAAAGGTAGATATAGGACTATAGTAGGGTCCCCACAGCATTCTGGGAGATGAGAGGACATAAACAGACTGAATACACCATTTTATAAGAGAAAAAAATTCTTTTTTTTTTAACTATTTATTGTTTAGTTTTAGTTGGACACAATATCTTTATTTTACTTATTTATTTGTATGCGGTGCTGAGGATCGAATCCAGGGCCTCGCACATGCCAGGCGAGCGCTCTACCTCTAAGCCACAACCCCAGCCTGAGAAAAAATTCTTTTTCTCCATAAAAATAAGGGGGAAACTTGAAAGATTTTAGGAGAATACCTACAACTATATTATGTATTCAAGTGTCAAGTAACAGCATGTGAATACTGGACAGAGAGTAACAAAAAAAAAAACTCTACCTCCACCAAACCCACATAGGGATTTCTCTAATGAATTATAAATGATCCTGTACAGTGCAGCTGTAACTACTGACGTGCGTGTGGGGGGGGGGGTACTGGGGGTTGAACCCAGGGGCACTCTACCACTGAACAATACCCTCAGCCCTTTTCATTTTTGAGACAGGATCTGTTGCCCAGGCTGATCTCAAACTTGCCATCCTCTGCCTCAGCCTCCCAAATAGCTGGGACTTCAGGTGTATGCCACCATGCCTAGTAGTAAATACTCTACGTTTGCTACTATTAAGTCTGTTGAATCCTCAGCATCGAGAATAATACCTGATATACAAAGAATGCTCAATAAATATTTGTTATTGCTATTTTAAGTACAATATGTGTCCTCTTATTTCAAAAAAACAAATTAAGAATAAGCTAAAAGCTCTTTAAGTATATGCCCACCTTTTAAAAAAAGAAAATGATTTCTGCCACTTTATATTTGAAGAACAAAGATTAAATAGGGTATAGTGGCTCACATTTGTAATCCCAGCAACTTAGGARGCTCAGGCATTAGGAATGCTAAGTTCAAGGTCAGCATCAGCAACTTACTGAACCCTACAGTGTCTCAGCAAGACCCTGTTTCAAACTAAGTAAATAAATAAAAAGGATTAAGGATGTAGCTCAGTGGTAGAATGCCCCAGGTTYATTCTCCAGTAGACRTCCCCCCAAAATGACATTAACAAATATTGCAAGAAACACAATTTTCTTGGCAGAAAGCTTTTAAAGGAATAAAGTGTTGTTTGATGTACAATCCAAAGAATTTTCCATGCAGACCCCCCACACACACTTTTCTTAAGCCATCTTCAGCTTCTCTATCCTACTGACCTATTAATGGTATCCAGATATGGGCAGTGGCGGCTCCTMCGATCCTCAGAATCCACGCGACCATTCTTTGCTAAAAGGAAAATCATTGCAGATTTTGAAAATGACAACCCTATATTCAGAATCAACTACCAGTGCTAAGAAACAAAGAAATGGAAAATCTAATCCAGATGAACTCCTAATTTCTTATATGGCAAATCATCTTTTTAAAAGTCCACTAGGGGAACAAGCCAGAAGCTGGAAGGATGTACTTGCTATGTATTTAACCAACAAGATTCACTTATACATTACATAAAGAAATTCAATGAGACATCGAAGATCTCGTGAACTAYATCACAAGTGCTAAGATAAGGCCAATGCAATGCACAAGTACAGTTTAAAGAGGAGTGTGTATGGATATCCTAAATGTGCCACTTGTCTGGATCCATGTCACAGATTTAACCTTTAACAATTTAGCCTACCAGTTTTCATGGATACTGAAGGACCACATTCGGCATTGGGTCCAAAACAAAAGACTGTTTAACAAGCAACAGCAGTGGCCAGAATATAGCATGGGTGTCCGTCCCACAAGGCCCCGGGAAGAGAAACTGCATAGGTGTGGTGCCTGACCAAAGAGCCCAGAGCCTATAGAACTCGCACCTTCTAGAGCTGGTTGGAGTCTGTCTCCCCTTGCTGTTCACTGAACCCACACGCTAAGCCCGAAGCCAAGGCGGCCAGCCTGTGGCCCACACCGGCAGAACCTCAGGGCCCGACGGAGAACAGTCTCCCAGGCCGTCCACCTTGCGGGCGGGACACAGCCAGTCTCAGGCGCGCGCCGACCCGTCCGTCTGCAGTAGGCACCGCAGGGCCCTATGAGGGGTACGGTGGCTGCGGAAACCCTGGGCATTTGCTAAGGGGCGGCCGCTGGACCAGCGCGGTCTTCGCCGCYGCAGGGCCTGGACCCGACCCCGGCAGAGCAGTGGGGGGGCTGCAGGCAAAACCCAGACCGCCCGGGTGGCGCCCGCCCGCCCGGCCCCGCGCACCTCGCACCTCCCGCTCGGGCTCCGAGTCCTCGTCGGCTTCACGCTCCCGCTTCACCCGCGGCGCCGGGACGGTGGGCGCCGGGGCCTCGCGCGCGCTTGCCGGCTCGACCTCGCGCTTKACGCGCACCGGGCTGCCCCGGGAGCCGGTCGCCTCAGGCTCCCGCTCGCGCTCCCGTTTTGAGCGACCCGAGCTGCTCCGCGCCTCGGACTCGCGCTTCCCGCGGGCCGAGCCCCGCGACTCTCGCTTAGACCGGCTGGACATCGCCACCGCCAGCCCAGCAACCCGCGCAGGCGCCTGAACGCCAAGCGCGCGGCACGGAGCCAATCAGGAGCCTCGGGGCGGCCGAGCTCGACGCGCTCTACGAGTCGCCGGCGGAGACAATTCACGCGGCAGGAAGCGCCGGAGGTGCGGCGCGCCGAGCTGTCTGACCCCCTGCGTCAGGACCTGTTGGCTCTCCTTGCTTATGAGACAGGGACGTTTTATCGGTACTGCGTTTTCTGGATAGTGGCAGTTGTACTTGGAACCCAGATTTCAAGACACTTTATGCCTCGAAACCGCCATCGGAGGTTGTCTCGCGCAACCTCCTCGCCTTGGAGGCTAATGAGCTCTTAAACAGCAAAGCCTGGATTTGAACCCAGGCAGAGCTCTGTCCACTCTTCCACTCCCTTCCAATCTCATTGCTGGACAAATGTGTGCTGTGCATCTACCTTGTAACAAGACCTTCACAGGAAAAGGGAGCTATATGCATGCCACCTTAACCCCTCCGTGCGGGAACCTGGCGGCACAATTCCGCAAAGAGGGTTCTTGGTATCATAAAACTGCAAACGCCCTGCCAGGAGTGTTCACCATGCAACCATTGAAAACCCCACGGCTGTCTCGAGCTCCTTTGGCCTTCTTTATGGGTGTGGGGGGTTTGCGGGGCTGGGAGTCGCAGGGGTCTCACACACGCTGGGCGGGTCTTACAACGCTGGACGCAGGCAGTTCCGCCTGCCTGTCTGAACTGGTCTACTGCGGTGCGTTGACAGGGAAGATGCTGTCTAACGTCTGCAGTTTGCTAAATTCTGACATATGGTTGCACCTGCAAAGCCATCCCYGCAGGGAAAAGAGGGAAACTGTCCTTGTACGCCAGGGAGGCCACGCGGTCTGCTGACCTGCTGTCCCCTAGAGTGGCCGTGCTCCCTGGAGCGCAATGCCCAGGCCCCACTACCCTGGCTCTCTAGCTAGGCTCTTTCGCCCGGCATCGGTGTTCCGGGATCCGGGCTCTGGCCATGTCGTGCAGGGGTAGAGACTGCTCGATTCTTTGCTTGGGCAGTAGCTTCCATCGCGGAGACAGGCCACGGTTTGTTCCTGTTCTAACATGAATTCCTGATTTTGACCTTTGAAGTGAGAGCCTGACGCGAGAGACCGGTGAGCCGTGCAGGCTGAAGGCCCGAAAGCCTGCACGAGCCCAGTGCTGCCTCGCGGCCTGGCTCTGTTCTGGGTGMCTCCAGTGCACAGCGGGGTTAGGGCGTCCTCCCAGGACTCGAAGCTGGWGAAGGAACGTCACAGTTTGTGCGACAGGAAGAGTGACACGTGGGTTGCTCTCACGTGAGTTGCATTTTTCCGAATTTTCCCTTTTTTTCTGCACTAGGACTGAACTTGGGGCTTGGCCCGTGCCAGGCAAGCGCGATGTCACCGAGCCACACCGCCTCAGCCCTTTTGTTCCMTGGGCTTCCCTGTGGTCCGCCGTGGGCCGACACCCTCGCTTCCTGCTAATCGCGCCCCAAGGAAAACAGCCCCTCGGCAGCCGCGGGGGCCCAGCGAGACCGCCTCCGCGGCAAAACCGACGCTCGCTCCGCGCCGCTCCTCTGGCCCAGGGCCGGAAGTCGAGCCTCGAGCCGGAAGTCGGGCCTGGGCCGGAAGTCGGGCCTGGCGAGGATCGGGGCCGCGGCTGGACCGTTCGTCGGGGGCGCCGCGGGGCCGTTGGCGGCCGGCGGTGGCGCCGCACCGCGCGTTCCGGATGGAGGAGGCGCCGGGTCCCGGGCCGGGGCTCTGCTGCCGGCCCGGCGGGCGGCTGGACATGAGCCACGGCTTCGTGCACCACATACGACGGAACCAGATCGCTCGGTACCGCCCCGCCCCACCGCCACCCCTGACCCGGCCCGGCCCGGCCCGGCCCGGCCCGCCGGCCCTGACTCCCGCCCGGCTCCCCGCAGGGACGACTACGACAAGAAGGTGAAGCAGGCCAAGGAGAAGGCGAGGAGGCGGCATACGCCTGCGCCCACGCGGCCGCGCAAGCCCGACCTGCAAGTGTACCTGCCGCGGCGCCGAGGTGAGCCGAGGCCCGGCCCGCCCGAGCCGCCCGCCGCACAACCTCCCGGAGAACCGCGGCCCGGCTGCAGCCTCGGCGGTCGGAGGGGCCTGCGAGCCGGCGACGAGGCTGCCAACCGCTCGTCCCGCCGAGTCCTGTGCGAGTGTCACCGCTGCCTGGCAGAGACGCCTGGCACAAATATAAGTAACCAGGACATAATTACGGAGGGGTCCAGAGAAATGGCCCTTTGCCCAGCTTCCTTGTGACGTGCAGGTCACGTAATTGACCTGTGGCACTGAGCTTGTTAAGTGTTGTTTAAAATGTTTTTAGGTCATGTGTAGATCTGTTCGTTGAAAGCGAGTTAGAACTGTTCAGGTTTCCTTATTGTTGGTTGACAACAGGCGTAAACAAGTAGAGTAACTTGCCCAAGACCTCAGAGCTCTTAAACAGCAAAGCCTGGACTTGAACCCAGGCAGAGCTCTATCCACTCTTCCACTCCCTCCCAATCCTATTGCTGGACAAATGTGCACTGTGCATCTATCTTGTAAAAAGATCAAGCCAGCCCAGAGCAGGGATACCAAGGGTAAGAAACCTCCTAGCTGGAAGCACAGCCGCAGGAGCACAGGGGTCCTCAGAAGAGCAGGGCTCTCTTCCCTGTGTTCTCCTGCATCATCTCTGTGGGCAGGCCCTTCAGCAGCATCCCTTCTTCCCTCTCATTCTGGTTCATCCCTACAGATGGTTCTACCCACCCAGGCAACCCAGACTGTGAGGAGTTCGGTGAAAGCAGCAGTAGTGGTGGCTCCGAGCTGGAGCCTTCTGGCCACCAGCTCTTCTGCTTAGAATATGAGTCGGACAATGGAGAGGTCACATCAGTTATCGTGTATCAGGTACGCCTCATGGAAACAGCTGCCACCTGAAGGTCCTGGGCTGTGGTAGAAATCACTGCCAGACCCAGCGCCACTATTTGCTTCAGGGCCAGTGTGAAGATTGCCCTACGTGAGAGCACAGAACTGCCAGGCGATGCTCAAGAGCACATCTCAGTTCTGTCTCGGTGATTCTCAGTGGGAGAATCATCATGGTGACCCCCAGTTGAGAATCACTATTGCAGGGGACACCTGAGAAATGACAGGTACTGACAAGAAGCCTTGAGCCAAATGGAGTTCTGTGAGAGTGTTGTCTGGGGACAGGGAAGGTTGCCTTTCTGCAAGAGACGAAGCCCTGAGCTTCCTGACTCTTCCTCCACGTAGGACGATGACCCAGGAAGGGTGAGTGAGGAAGTGTCAGCACACACACCTCTGGATCTGCCCATGCGAGAGGCCCTCAAGTTGCGTATCCAGGAGGAGATTGCCAAACGCCAGAACCGACACTGACCAGGTGGAAGGCATTCTCTCCAGGCCAGAATCCTGCACTTGGATGAATTCTGACTAGGGAGCCCACCCTACATTGCGGTGCTAGGACTTGTCTGTCTGATCTTGAGACCCTTATAAGCTGCTGCATCCACAGGGGTGTTGCAGGGCTACACCTAGCCCACCTCCCCCACCTCCCTTGCCGCAATTCTTTCTTGTATGTTGACCCATTTGGCTGSCCTATTGTCTTGGAATTTTTTGAGAATTTTGATTAGAGAACCTGGTGCTCTTGAAGCTAAGAACTTAGGGAGAGCCAGGGTTTATAAAGCCTTTTGCCAATACGCTGCTCTCTCACTGAGGTCATATTCCTGACCACTCATGCCATGAGCCGTGTTTGTTACTTTATTGTTTTCTTTCATGTTTCTGCTTCCACCATAGTTTCCTAGGACCCGCCCCCTTAAGTTTTATTCTTTTTGCCTCAGGTAGAACCCATCAGTTCCTTTCACCCCATCTCTTGACATGACTATGCATCTCCACAACTAAGGGCTTTGCTGGTGGGGAGTTCTGGGCATCTACCTTTCTAACAAGTTCTCCGAATATTTCTGGCACCAGTAAGATGGGAGAGGCCTGCTTGGAAGCTTGTTCTCTTCCCCTTGCATGACTTCTTCCCATGCTCCACTGCTTTGTGCTGTTTAGATAGGCCACCTAGGAAAAAGATGCTGCTGTTAAATCTGGGGATCTCAGTGAATCCTGCTTTAGTTAGAGTTAAGCAATTCCAGCTTTTGATCCCATCCCCAGTTGTGAATAGACTGTTCTCTGTTCAGACTAAAGGGGAATTGTCGAAACAAGGTATTAAAGTCTAGAACAGTTTTGAATGTTTGTGCAAAGTGGAAATCAGCATAAGTTTAGTGCCCCAGTAGCCAGAAAAAAAAAAAAGTCCGAAGAAAGCCCATACTAGAAAAAGTAAAATTAGCCCCTTATCTGCCTCACTTGTTTTCCTTTCCTACCTCCAAAAAATATACAACTAAGAGTCTTGTAGAGCCCCAGTAATATTATGTWGGCCCATTTGGCTGGCCTATTATCTTGAAATTTTTTTGAGAATTTTGATTAGAGAACCTTGTGCTCTGGTAGCAGAGACCTTAGGGAGAGCCAGGGTTTATAAAACCTTCTGCCAATATGCTGTATGTAGAGAATTTTTATTTTTTGGAATGGTCCCAGGAATCAAACCCAGGGCCTCTTGCATTCTAGGCAAGCACACTGCTACTGAGCTCCATTCTAACACAGGGTTAGACAAGAGGACTGAGGGTGCAGCTCAGTGGTAGAGTACCTGCCTAGCATGCACAAGGCTCTGGGTTCAGTCCCCAGCACCACTTTGGGAGGTGGGGAGGAGGTGGGGAGGCTAAGGTCTAAAGTCTACAAGATATCCTGTGCACTGAAGCTCCAAAGCACCTCGGTTTCCCAGCAAATTCAAACATCAGTGACTCCAAATGTGGACTGTAAGTGAGCCTGTAAGCACTGAGTCCCTGAAACCAAAATACCCATCCCCAGGGGTTTCTGTATACAACAGGATCTCAAGATCAGTCTGACTGTTCCATCTCTTAAAGAACACCTAAGGGCACTGTTGGTTTGTGTCCTGCACCCCTGAAAACTGACCCCTGGAGAATGGGGCAAGGCAGCTACTTCAACTGCACTATTAAACATTAAACACTATGAGCCACAACTTGCAGTGTCAGAGAAACACTGGGAAGTGAGTAGGGTGGTAAGTTAGAGGGGCCTGTGCTCCAGACCTACATTGCTAGCCCAAGGTCAAGTGCCTTAAACCTTAGTCCCAGGCTCAGTTCTGCTTTTAGAGGAGAAAGTCTCTGACCTCTACTTATGCATCTAGCTATAAAGTGCCTTTGGACCTAGAATGTCAGCTACCGTCCAGCACCTGGGCCAAGGGGGCCCTTCCAGACTCTACCCACTTCTTCCTGCAGGGAAAGGACCAGTCTTTTTAGTCTTCCAACTCTCCAGCTGATGTGTGACTTGAAACATGGGCTCTCACTGGAAGTCTGCCTCCCTGGGAGGGAGGCGGTATCTGTCTTCTCGCAGCTTGATTGCCTGTTTCCTGGTTTTATGATAGAACATAGAAAGAAGGCCCCAAAAGGAGTTGGGGGACAYGGCACCATTCCTGTCTCTTGAAGGGGGAAGAGGTAAAAGAAGGCAGTGTTTAGTGATTGCCTGTTGGGTCCCTTTATGTGTTTGTCATGTGAGTCTCACAAAGGCCCCTTAAGGCAGAGGAGGACAGAAAGTCCTTACTTTTACCCCTTTTTTCTTTAGGAACTTTTGTTTATCAAGGACATATATTTTCTACCCATGACAGCATTCTAATACATGTATGACTTTTGCAGTGACTAAAKAAAGCACTGAGGCCTGTACTTCAGTGAGAGGTGRTCCTTCAGAGCTGCCCTGCTGGAGCAGATACCACTGTCTGCCCCAGAGCTCAGCCCCACTGCTCGCCACCACCGTCCATCTGGGGCCAGGATGGTGCTATCCACCTTATTTAAACCTGCCTCCAGACAGCTTGCACCTGTTTTAGAAACTCGTGCTTTGCCTGGAGGAGCATGTCCACAGCATTTCTCACAGGTTCTAGAGATGTCCACTAGAGGAGTGCCCTCTGCCGGTCAGTGCTGAGGCAGCAATCTTAGCCTGAGTGAAGCAACACTCACTTGAGTAGATATGTTCTCGGCTGTCTTAAAGAAAAGTCTGATAGGCATGTCCATTGGGTATGGAGTGTTCCTCCTTCTGTTCTTAACTGAGGTTAAGCCCGAATCTTAAAGCTTTTGTTTCCTGGGCCACAAAGTGATTACCAAGAGGAGGTAGCCGTCATGCAAGGTTTTGGAACTGTGCTTCAGTGAGCTGTGAAGCCTGAGTTGCAGCCCACTGGCAAGCAGGAGGCCTTGGAGTGCAGCGCAGGGAAAGGAAAGGAAAGCTGTGTGAGGTGGGAACCCCAAGCCCCACCAGCCAGTAGGCTAACATTCACAGGAAGAGCCTCTCTGGACAGGAAACTGCCAATCGGAGATGAGTCCACAGGATAGGAGGAAGCCCTTGGGTGGTTAGTGCCCAACCTGCTRTGAATTTGGCAAGATCCATGAACTCAGGGTGCTGGGTTCCCTGATGGCTCACAATTTAAATGAGGCCTTTGCTTATCAAATGAGGAATGAGAATGGAGTCCCCTCTTGTCTCAGCCTTTGGGAGAATCACCATGAAATGCTGACCAGTATTTGACATACTTTAACTCCTCCAAATTCCTGTCCTGTCCTCCAGGAATCACATGACCAAGACGCCATAGGCACCCACCCCAAGTTTCCCCAGGAGTTGGAGTGAGGTAGAAGTGAGGACCTGCTGAGTGAAGGGCTCCTCCGCCTTCTCGGAGCCAGCAGAGCCCGGCAGGTTGCATTGGCTGCTTCAAGGTGCCAGGTGTAAAAGGCCTTGGTTGTGTTTTCTGGCTCCCAGTGTGTCTGCTGTTGTGGGTAAATAAAACAGTGTATTTGAAAGTCCCAGATGGGAGACACTTTTCAAAAGCAGTATTTTGTTAAACCAATAAACTATGTTTACAACACTGTTTTGTCAAGAGTTGTGAAATCATTTGTGTATGTGGGCAGAGGAGATTAGTTCCTGCCCTGAAGTCACTCTAGCATCTCCTCTTGCTTTGCCTGTTTTAAGAGCACAACAGCTAGGCCTACTCAGCATTAGCAGTGGAAGAGTTTTGGAAACATCTGATTTGCCCCACCAGGTACTCAGAAGGAGACCCTTTGTAGTAGGGAGCTCTAGCTTGGACTTATTCTAGTTTAGGAGTATTGGGATTGTCATATTAAGCCTAAAAGTGCCTCCAGTGTCACAGCTCCAGAATGCTAATGCCTTATACCCCACRTCATATTAGAACAGCCAGTTGAATCTGAGGAGTCCTCTCAACCTGRTGATTGGACAGTGGTGCAGACCCAGCTCAACAGGAGCACAGTAAGTGTTGAAAACCACAAAGCTTGGCAGGGATGGTAGTCACACCTGTAACCCAGCAACCTGGGAGGCTGAAGCAGGAGGATCACAAGTTCAAGGCCAGCCTGGGCAGCTTAGTGAGACCCTGTCTCAAAAATGAAGGACTGGCTATAATCCCCAGTCCCTTTGACCTTGGGACCAGCCAAAGGTAGTCTGATTTTATGTTCCCTAGTTCAGCCAGGTTTTTGAGTTGTTTTTGTTTTTTGAAAGAGTCTCCTAAGTTGGCCAAGCTGGCTTCAGCCTCCAGAGTCAGGAGGGTCACAGGCCAGCACCACTACATCTGCCACAGCCACACTAGTTTTTATTTCGCATTATAGCCATACTTTTTTTTTTTTTTAATACCAGGGATTGAACCCAGGGGCACTTAACCACTGAGCCACATCCCCTTTTTGTATTTTACTTTGATACAGGATTTCACAAAGTTTCTTAGGGCCTCACTAAATTGCTGAGGCTGGCTTTGAACTTGCCATCCTCCTGCCTTAGCCTCCCTAGCGCTGGGATTTCAGGCTTACGCCACCATGCCTGGCTACAGCCTTATTTCTTGACCCTGCTTTAACTCCTACTCTTGTGAGCGGGAAAAGGACTCCCCATGTCCACCTTCTTTGGGTGTGGGTTCCATTTCTACCCCCAGTGGAGTCCAAAAAGGTTTCTCTTCGCCATTGCAGTTTCTTCTGCTGTTTCCTTGCATTCCGGGGCCCTGTTTGTGCACATAACCTTTGCCTCACCAGTGTGGCCGCCTCTTGCCCCTGAGCGCTGGCCGTCCCTGTTGGACCGGCTAGTGACCTGACTCCGTGGCCGCCCAGCAGTGCCATCGCAAGCCGGGCTGCCTTCAGGCAGACCCAGGCACACTTGCGGTATGTGAAAGCAAGCATTCCTGCCTCTTCAGTCATGAAAAGAATGTCCTTGGCCTCTACTTTATGGTGACGCTAGTGGATAGCTTAGCCCGCACAACCCTGCCTCCTCCTCCCGGGGCCTGGGGCTCGCCCTCCTCTCCTGCCTCCCACACCTGGCCACCAGAACCCCTACCACCCTGCATCTGGTGGGTTGCTCAGAGCGCACACCCCCTGGTGCTGACCAGTCGGAGAGCGCCTGGACGCAGCGACCTCTGGCCGGCTTTTGGTGTTCTCGTATGTGCGAAGAGGGCGCTCGAGGAAAGCCGCACGGGGTCGGCGGGGTCGRCGGCCGGTGCGGACGCGCCTCGGCGGCGCGCGGTGGCTCGGGAGTTGTAGTCCCGGCAGCGCGGACTGCAGGTCCCGGCGGGCGGCGCGGCGTGGAGGGGCGGTGGGGCGGGGCCGCCGGCCCTTTAAACGCGCGGGGCTGCTCCGGGGGCCGCAGCCCAGGACCGCGCCACGAGGGCCGAGCGGGGCGCGGCGGCCAGCGCTCGCGCGGTGCGTAGCCCCCTCCCGGCGCCCCCGCACTCTCCCTGCGCGCCCTGAGCGCCCCGCGGCCCTCGGGCGAGGGAGGGGTCCCTTGCCGAAGCCGCTGCCCGCCGAGTCGCGCGGCACGCCGGGGCCCTGCGGGTACCGAGAGCTGCAGGTTGAGGCGTGGGTGCAGCCCAAAGTTTGCACGCCCACCGGCCCGGGGGGAGGTGTGGACCGCCTCCCCTCCCCCGCCCCTTTCCTGCTTTGGCAGGGGACCCTGGACTTCGATCTCTTTCCCCACCAGGCCGGGGCAGCTGATGGTTGTGGCCCGCCCCCTCTTCCCCACCTGCCTGCTGTCTGCCCCTCACCTCCACCACCCTGGCTCCCCTCCCTCATGACCGCCTGGATCCTCCTTCCTGTCAGCCTGTCAGCGTTCTCCATCACTGGCATATGGACTGTGTAAGTAAGAGGGGCTGGGGGGCGGGGGACAGCGACCTGATGCTTGATGGCACACACAATGTCCCTTGTCCTGTAGTAGGCTCCAGGGTGGTGCCCAGGGTCACTCTGGCTGCCTCCAAAGCCTGGCCTGGTGCCTGGGCACACAGCCCCTTGGACAAGCTGGCACCACTGCCGGGCAGCCCAAGAACCGACTGACAGGCTGTAGCCCGGGCAGTTTCCAGAGGGTTTCCAGCTGGGGCCCTGCGGCAGCTCTGGTGTAKTCAATGCTCAGCCCAGCCGCGATCCCGATGTCCCCAACAAGGCCAACAGCCTGGATGGGACCAGCAGTCAAGATGGAGAGGCAGGGGGTGGCTGGGCCAGGAGGGACTGTCCGCAGGGTGACGGTTCTCCTCCCACAGGTATGCCATGGCCGTGATGAACCGCCACGTGTGTCCCGTGGAGAACTGGTATGCAGTGCTCCGCAGGCAGCTCGCTCTAGAGCTCCCTTCATCTGTCCCCTCCCGGGCCCTCTGCTGCACAGCTGGGCGCAGGCCCTGGGCCTCGCTCTCTGACGTTGGTCCCAGGCACGGCTTCCTGCCCGTCTGCCCATCTTCCACCATCCCTTCACCCCTCTGGCTTCTGCTTCAGGCAGGCTCTGGGGAGCAGGCTCTGGTTCCTTGCTGGGGAGGTCTGGGAGCGGGTCCTTCTCGAGGYCTAGGGCACCCCCTCCCCCAGTCTACTCAGTGTCCTGCCTGCCAGGTCCTACAACGAGTCCTGCTCTCCTGATCCTGCTGAGCAAGGGGGCCCCAAGACCTGCTGTACTTTGGACGATGTCCCCCTCATCAGGTAAGTCAGGGAGACATAAAGTCCTCCCAGACTTCCAGAAAGCCCTTAAATCAAGGCCTGTCCCTGGGTCACAGGAATAATCATCATACTAAGAGCTACTTAATACCATTTGGTTGCTAGGAGCTGGCYCTGCTGAGGGCGTTGTGTGTGATGCCCCTTAATTCTCCCAGCAGGGAGGCTGCTGTTTTCTRTTGCAGGTGAAGAAACTGAGGCTCAGAGTTATTGGGCAGGTCAGAGATAGTAAGTAGGCAGCTGGATTTAAGCTGACATCCTTGGTTGCCCAGCCAGAGGCCTCAGCAGGGACTCAGCTCGCCAGCACTCCAGGGTACCCCAGGGAACCCCTTAATCGCTCCACACAGGGCTCTGCTGGGGGTTCAGTCTGGGGCCAGTGTTTATGGGGCTCACCAGCCCTCCTCCTCACTCAGTGCTTTGCCCACTGAGGAGCAGGCAGACCAAGGAAGCGGGGGACAGAGGGGCTGACCAGTGCTGCTGCCTCATGCCATCCTTCCCTCCACAGCAAGTGCGGCACCTACCCCCCSGAGAGCTGCCTCTTCAGCCTCATTGGGAACGTGGGTGCTTTCATGGGTGAGTGGTACCTCAGCCCCACCTCACCAGTCCAGTCAGCCCCTACACTCTTCAGGAAGGCCCAGAAGGCCTTGCTCCTCGGCCATCCTCCAAGGGGAGACCAGAGGGGCAGCAGCACTCCTGTTCCTTGAGGACCAAAGGCCAGCTCCCACACTGCCACCCCAGCTACTTGCCAGTCCCAGGCTTGTCTGTCCCCTTTGGGCCCTCAGAAGGGCCTTGGAAGGGGCAGGACTGGCCGGAAGTGCCAGGCTGGCCCCAGCAGTGTCTCCTCCCCCAGTGGCCCTCATCTGCCTCCTGCGGTATGGGCAGCTCCTGGAGCAGAGCCGGCACTCTTGGGTTAACACCACAGCGCTCATCACAGGCTGCACCAACGCCGCGGGCCTCGTGGTGGTTGGCAACTTTCAGGTGCCCCCCAACACCCTATGGACTTCCCCTAGTAGGGCCTGATTGCCTGCAGGGGCACCACCTCAAGGTGGAGGTGGAGGAGAGGGGCTGGGAGGGACAGGAGGGCCTGCACGTTAGCACATACCAGTAATCTCAGCAGCTTGGGAGGCAGAGGCAAGAAGATTTCAAGTCTGAGGCCAGCCTCAGCAACTTAGCAAGATCCCATCTCAAAAAATAAGGGCTGGGGATATGGCTCCCTGGTAGAGCACTCCTGGGCTCAGGCGCCAGCTCTGTGGATGTGGGGGGACCTTACGATGGGCCTCTGCCTTGTCAGGTGGACCATGCCAAGCCTCTGCACTACGTGGGAGCTGGTGTGGCCTTCCCTGCAGGGCTGCTCTTTGTCTGTCTGCACTGTGCCCTGTCCTACCATGGAGCAACCACCCCCCTGGACCTGGTGGTGGCCTACCTGCGCAGTGTGCTGGCTGCCATCGCCTTCGTCACCCTGGTCCTCAGTATCCTTCTAAGATGGTGTGGCCAGGAACTCACCCACTAGTTCCTTTCTCCTCCTAGATGGGGTGGGCCTAGTAGATTGTAGTCCACACTGTCCATGGGGAGGCCTGATCCTTGTCCCAGCCTGATCAATGTGTGGGACTGCAGAAGGGGTGCTGCCAGGTCCCCGCACAGCCTCCTGAGCCCTTCCTTAGCAGTGTTCCAGGTGGCGTCTTCTTTGTCCACGAGAGCTCCCAGTTACAGCACGGGGCAGCCCTGTGTGAGTGGGTGTTCGTCATCGATATCCTCATTTTCTATGGCACCTTCAGCTATGAGTTTGGGGCAGTGTCCTCAGACACTCTGGTGGCCGCTCTGCAGCCTGCCCCTGGCAGGGCCTGCAAGTCCTCGGGCAGCAGCAGCACCTCCACACACCTCAACTGTGCCCCCGAGAGCATCGCCATGATCTGAGGCCTGGAGGGCAGCTGGCCAGCTCTGCAGCACCCCTCATCTTCTTTGCATTTACTTTGTACCAAAAACCATTTTTAGAAAGTATTCTGTTGGGATCTGGGCGTCCTTGCCCTGGAGAAGTGGCCATGCGTGTGCCGCAGAGCTGCTTTGTGCTCAGCCAGTCCTCCCCTCCAGCCAGCCCTCAGGTGCCTTCTCCCAGTGCCACAGCCAGACCACTGGGGCTTCCTGCTGCAGGAATTGGGGGCTGGGGACAGCAGGGAGGACGAGGGAAGAGCACGCCTTAGCCTACAGGAAGGCCCGCCCTGGGCCCCTGAGCTGCACTGGATCTTCACTCTGCCCCTCACTTCCTTTAGGGCAAATAACACAGCAGAACCACATGGGTATTTTAGTACTTTTTTATATCTATTAAAAGAATTCTAATTTGCATGTTGTAGTCTCTTCTGGAATAAGGGAGAGCRTAATCGGGATGGCTTTCCCTAACCCCTGCCCCCAGAGAGAGCCCAGAATATACACAGCTCTTTAAGAGCAAGGCTGTCAGGAACCAAGGATGCCAGACACTATCCAAAGACCCACCAGAGCTTGAAACCCTTCCTGGGCCTCTAAACTGTCTAAAGTCCTGACCTGGCCTGACAGCCTCACTTCCTTCCCCCACTCAGTCTGGTTTGAACTTTGATTCTAAGGTAGGGGGATATGGGAAGGGAAAGATACAGAGCAACTTTTAAAATGTTAAAAGCAATTTTCTCTCTGGTGCTAAAGAACACTCTAGGATTCCAAGGTTAACTGAAGGTTCCAAGGTTAACTAGAAATTGCAGTGGGGGGAGGGAAGTGCAGGTTAGTTTATCAGCTTTAAATAGCTGCGGGGTACAGGCCCTGGCAGAGTGTGCCTTCCAACCACCAGTACAGGCCAAACCTTGGCTGCCTGGTGGCAGGCTCTTTACCTGAGCTCCACCACCCTGAGTCTAGACAGGCCGCTGGGGAGGGACATGCAGCCTGGCACCTTCTGCTGTTCAGCACCACCTCACCCAAGAGCAGCAGGTACCTGGTAGAGGACGCCAGCCCCTGCCCCAGCCTGTGAACAATGCAGTTGCAGGTGGGCAAAGACATGTTTAATGAGGGTTCAGGTGTGGAGGGAGACGCTGTGGAGGGTGGGCACTCAGCCCAGCTGCCTCACGTGTACATGGCCCCATGGAGGTTCTCCAGGCGGTGCTGCTGCTGCTGCTTTCGAGCCTGGAAGACAGAGGGAACACAGGCAGGGCCAGCCTGAAGACCCACGGGGAGGGATGGGCAGCAACCACAGGGCTGGATCTCGTGTTGGGCCCCTAGCTTCTGCACCCCTTGAGATTTCTGCTCCTTAGTGAACACTGGAAAGGTGGCCAAAGCCAGGGAATCCAAAGGCCTAGCCCAGCCTGCTGAGGAAGAGAATGAGCACAGTGGGGCCAGGCCAAGGACCCATGATAGCCCTCACCAGGTCCTACCTTATCTCGTCTGTGCTCCTCGTAWGTATCATCATCAGTGGGCAGCTCGTGGCGGCACAGGGGGCAGGAATTTGTCTGGGAAAAGTAGTTATGTTTCAGCCCAAGTCTGGTCTCATTCATAAGCTAATCACCCTCTCCAGCTCCCCAACCCCTACTCCACTGTTCTTTGATCCCAGAAAAAACCCTAAGAACTGATGATAGGAAGGAAGGAAGCAGTACCTTGCTCAGCCAGGGCAGAATGCAGTTGGAATGGAAGAGGTGATGGCAAGGCATCTCAATGACAGTCTCCTGCTCCTCAAATTCCAAAAGACACACGGGGCACTTGAGCTCTTGAGGAGGGAGTGCTGATCAGGAGAGCGGCTGCAGGCTCCCCCACCCAGCTCCCACTCCCGAAGGTCAGGCTTGCCCCAGTGGGGGTCTGGAACACTGAAGGGCCAGACCACAGTCTGCAGACCTGCCCAGACAGCAGAAGGATGTGATGTCCTCACCAGCCTGAGAGCCACTGATGACTGTCCTGGGGAGGCTCTCCACCGCAGCCTTGGCAGCTGGTGGAGGCAAGTGGTGATCCCAGTCTACGACCAGTCCCAAGTCTTCAAGATCCATCCTATTGAAGAGAGACCTGGGAGGACAGCTGCAAGGTCAGAACCAAGAAAAGCCACACTTCCTCTTTGCCTCCAAAGTAACTGAGGACAAACACACAAATATCCTGCCCAGCCTGGTACCCAGACACTAGCAAGCCTGTAATCCCCAAACTCAGGAGGATGACACTTTCAAGGCCAGCCTCAGCAACTTAGCAAGACCTTGTATCAAGAGAGAGGGACTCCGGGTATTGCTGGGTGGTAGAGTGTTTTCCAGCATCCCCCTGAGATCCCAGGATCTATCCTCACTACCAAAAATATATCCAAAAAAAAAATGTGCCCAGTACCAAAAAATGGGTGTGATATGTGCATACACACACAAAAAAAAWTTTTTTAAATAAAAAGGGCCAGGTGCAGTGTTGCACGCCTGTAATCCCAGCGACCAGAGAGGCTGAGGTAGGAGAATGTAAGTTCAATGCCGGCTTAGCAATTTAGTGAGGTCCTAAGCAACTTAGCAAGACCTTGACTCAAAATAAAAACTAAAACGGGCTAGGAGCGTAGCTAGTGGTTGAGCGACCCTGGATTCAATTCCCAACTAGCAGTAATAATAGCTACCCTGTACACAGTTGGCGCTCATTATTAGATAAAAAGCACGGTGGGACTGGCTTGCAGCTGATCCGAACACCCCGGCACATCGTGGGAGTAGCCCAGGCCACGCAAGGCTCTCAGGGAGCGCCAGGGCCCGAGCCGCGGTGGGCTGGGCCGCTTCCCCTCGGTGCCCCGCCCCCAGGGCCCCGCCCCGGCCGGCCCGCGCCCACCTTGCGAGCTCCAGCAGCATGTTGGTTCGGGCATCCTGCTCGCGGTCCAACGGCTCGCAGTCGTGCTCGTCGAAATAGGACGCCATGGCCGCTGCGGTCTGACACAGCCCTCGGACCCGCTGGATCGCGGCCCCGAGGCGCTGGCCAATAAACTGGCGACTTGGGAGGAGCCAGCCAATCAGGATACTGGAAGGGCGGGCGTAGTGGTTGGTTAACGTACAGAAAGCGGAAGTACTGATTCTGCCGTCTCTGGTTGGTAGGACGAGTCAGGTGACCAAAGACTGCGACCAATGGGATCGGAGGAAGAAGGAATTCCCGGGAATTTCTGGCGTGGTCTCAGTCGTGGAGGCGAAAGGGCGGTTGCGGTCTTCCACCGCCCGGTGGCCTCGCCGTCTCAACGTGCGGGTGCTGGAATCTGCACCTCCTCGCTGCGCGGGGAAGAGCTCCTGCGCTTCCGATATATTTGCTTGGCGATGAACGCGGGCAGCCTCACCTTTGCTCGGGGCTGTTTACCTTAGCCCCCTTCGCAGCTTCTGGAGCTAAGTTACTAGTTTGCATCCCTGGCTGCATATCATTTCCCACCCCCCACCCCCAGAAGAGCGGGTAGCGCTCTTATCGGGAAGATTTCAAACTAGCCTGTCTGCGGAGCGGCGTGTGTCCGTTCTGCAGGTGATTCTAAGGCGAGGCAGTGCTGAGAATCATTGCACTGGATTATTTGCATTGATGGATGTTTTACAAACAGTATCAGTGATCCTTGCAATATTCCTGGGAGCTAAACACAATCGTGCAGTATTGATTTTAGCTGCTGGGGATTGAACTCAGGGCCTCTAAGTGCGTGCTTTCCCCTGAGCTACTCCCTCAGCCTCTCTTCTGCCCTTTTAATTACGTAAAACGCAAGTATCAGAAGTGACTGGCCCGGCCTCAGCAGTTTAGGGAGTCCCTCAGAAACCTAGCGAGACCCTGTCTCAAACTAAAAAAAAAATAAAATGGCTGGGGTTGTAGCTCAGTGGTAAATCACGTTTGGTACCAAATCCCCAGTGCCAAAAAAGGGTTCACTCAAAATGACACAGTCTGTAAATGGTGCTTCCTTCTTTCCCAGAAGAGAAAGACCATGATAAGTCCAGTGAAAGTGTACTTTCACTGTGTCACACTGTGAGTAAAGGTCACAAAACTCTGAGTTTTTTCTTCTTTATCAGTAACCCTCTATCTAACAAGGAACTGCTAATTTTACACACTTTACCTCTAATTCCTTTGCCACTCACTTTTGAGTTTGAGCTGCAGTTAAGTAGCCCATGCAGAGGCTGCCCTGCTTCCACAGTGTGTGGGACCTTCTTTCCTTCTTCCATGCCTGTGGCCACATGTGTCTCTGGAATGTTGAAATGTCTGGATTCTTTCCTACAGGACCCTACACTGCAGTACCACAGGCCAGGCGCCTCCCTGCAGGTGTTAAAGCTTAAGAAGGAACATAGGCAGTGAAATTGGGGAGGGGGAGTATTGAGAGGGGAAATGTCCATCTGACTCTGTATCCCTCTTTTCTCTTCCCTGGTCCATTGGGCCTGGATTCCAGAACCTCAGCTTCCTCTGAGCTTCCCCAGGTGGGGAGCTTCCTGGGACCCCACTGCTGCAGGTGACAGCCTCATGAAAACATCTCTGAAGTACTGTCCTCCCACCTAGAGTCCCTCTGAGTTTCCCAAGATGTCAAAGGTAATAGATTTGATGTTCAGGAAAGCAGGCTCAAGGTTCTGGTTTGATGACTGTTGTTATAACAAGGACTTAAGACTCTTAAGTCTTAAGACTGCAGATGTCCAGGGGCTGGGGATGTGGTTCAAGTGTTAGTGTGATCACTTTGAATAGTGCTTCAATAAATATGGAAATTAAGAACAACATTTAAAAAAAATAACAAAGATATATATATATATATATATATATATATATATATATATATATATATATAGACAGACATATATAGACTGCAAATGTTCAAAGGGTTCCTAAAAGCGGGATTAAAGACTTTGCATCTCTGCCTACATTTTATATCCATCTCCTTTACTCCATGTCACCTTCGATTCCAGGAACAAAGTGTGATCTGATGAGCATCTTGTGATGAATCCAAGCTCCTCACTCCCCTACCCACAGGCAACAGTACCTTCCTTATCTCAACAAGGCCTGCCTGACCAATCCTGAGATAATGATGGACAGACCACACCTGATCAAGATCACCTGCTTTGGGCTTGTGCGTAGTGGCACACACCTGTAATCCCAGCAGCTCAGGAGGCTGAGGTAGGAGGATTAGAAGTTCAAAGCCAGCCTCAGCAACTTGGTTATGCCCTAGGCAACTTAGTGAGACTGTCTCAAAATAAAATTTTTTTAAGAAAGGCTGGCGATGTGGCTTAGTGGTTAAGCCCCTCTGGGTTCAATTCCTCATGCCAAAAAAGGAAAGAGATCACTGCTTTGGCAGCTATGAATAGCCTCCAGCTATGCAGACCCCAAACCCCTGCTCTCATTCCYCTTTTGATAAAACCTCAGAGTCACAGTTGTCCCCTCAAAGACAGGGCTAAGGACATGGGTCCCCTTACAGTTCCTTTCCTGCTCTTCACCGTTCCCCATCCTGTTTCTGTTTGGTTTCCTAGTTAGGTGGCCAGAGCTGGTTCGTTGTATTCCCAGAGTTAGGCCCTGACCTAGGACACCCGACAACACTGTGTCCTTGCACTCTCACTCCAGAAAGGTGAGCAGGRTTGGATCAAGGAAGAAGCAGGGAAGATAAAAGAGGGGGATGCAGCCCCTTGGGTGGAAGGCTAAACAGCCCCAGGGTGGCGGCAGAGGAGCTTCAGAAACACACACACTCACACCAGCTTTTAGCCAGACAGTGGCTTTTACTGAGCTCCAGTGGGGCTGGCCTGGTGTTGCTGGTGCGGCAAGCTGCCACTGAGGACCAGTCTGTGGCAAGATGGGAGGTGCAGTGGTGCACGTCTCAGGGTTGCCCTTTGGTGTCACTGGGGTGGCTCAGAAGGGGACAAAYACCAGGGTTCTCTGGAGACCAGAGCTGACCACTGAAGCCCTTCAGCCTCTCCCCCAGGCCTGCTGTGTCAGTCCCCAGGCCCTGAGGCAACGCCTGTGTCCTGGGCCTGTGGGGCACTGCTGTCCCCACTTCTCTTCGGGAGAAAGATGGCCAGCAGTACAATCAAAAGTATGAGTAGGCCACCTGCCACCGCCAGCCCCATGTAGATCCTACAGCGGATATTCTCCCAGCGCTTCTTCTGGGCGAGGGTCTTGGTTGTCTTGCTGAAGGCTGAACTCTGTGGATACCCCAGACACAGGTGGGAATTAGTGGCTCCCATGGGGCCTCTGAGCCAACTCCTCCCGTCCATCCCAGCAGAGCCTGGTCCCCTGGTCCTCCTCACACACTGCCCTGGGACTCTCCTGGTCTGCTTCTGGTCTCAGACACCAGGTAGCCCTTGGCTATTAGTCCTCCCGGCTCACCCCTGGTTAGCAATGCCAACCCCCGACCTTCAGACCTAGGCCTTCTTACTGTGTGAGGCCTACCCAATTGCACATCTAGGCTAGGGTGCCTCAGGAGACCCAGAGGCCTCCACCAAAGGCCTGGAGGCCTTGAGAACAGCCTGAGAGGCTCTCCCTCCCATCTGTGCTTGCCCGGGCCTCACACCATGTCCAGGAGTTGGTCTGAACGCTGCTCCAGCTCTGCCAGCTTCCCGTCACGCTCCAGGACTTTGTCGAAGTTGTTGAGCATGATTTCCGTCACCTCGTCCGCCTGCCTCTGGCATCGCTCCAACTCGTTCCCTGCCTGGGCACCAAGCCCAAGGTCAGGGCTGTATGAGGCTCCATCTGGCCCTAATATGGAACCCTCCTTCCCCCATGGAAGGTGTAACAGCATCCTTCACATAAGRCAAGATGTGGGCAGAGAAGGGCTGACCTTCCGGGTGGGTGGGGCTCCTCCCTGGTCCATCAAGGCCAGGCATAAATCAGGCCTGGCTTCCAGAGCCTCACTTCCTCTGAGCTGCCCCAGGTGGGGAGCTTCCACAGGACCCCAGACCTGCAGGCGGCATCTACCCAGTGCACATCCTCCTACGGCTTCCCACTGAACTCAGGCTAAGGTGGCCCCAAAGAAACAAGTGACTTGGTGGCAAGACAGACAGGGAGGAGAGCCACTCCACAGGGCTAGAAAAATGGTTCTGGACCAGCTCATGTCACAGTGTCTGCCTAAGCTTTCCCAGAGTGACTCCCAGGTCCCCTCCTTGGGCCTCTGGCTGGTCAGGCCTGTTCTGCTTCCTGCCCATCCCCCATCACGTCAGTGCCCACATCAGTCCCCTTCCTGCGGGGGAACCTCAGCCTCTAGCCTCCAGCCTTCCAGTCAGCACAGAGGTGAGACCAACCCCTAAATTTCCCAGCCCGGGCAGCAGCTCTCACCTGAACCAACCCAAACTACTCTGTAGGACTGGRAAGGGAAGTGCAGGTTCCGAGCCAGCTGGGCGCTGGACACACATGACTAAGGACCAGGACAGGAAGCCTCCACCCCCCTACCCCCACCCCCATCCCCCATCAGCTGCAGGCCCAGGAGCAGGTCCAGGGACAGTTCCGCTCCCTCCCCTCCTAACCCTCATCCCCACAACCCTGTCCCTCTTCTGTCTCCTCCTCAGAATGTCACCAAGCTTCCATTCCTGCCTGCTCTGTGGCCATTGCCCTCAGCAGACATTCTGGCATTGGAAAGGATCTGGTGGTCCCAGGGGACTTCCTCCTCCCCTGAAGCTCCCCAGTGGGACCACAGGCTCCCAGAGAGACAGCAGGGACATGCCCTCCTTCTGCACCACAAGCACAGCGCTGACCCTTGCAGGTCTGGTGAGCTGGCCAGTTCTTTACAGCCTATCCAAAAACAACTTTGATGGTCAGAGATGTTCTCCTGGTGCGCTTATAAAGCCCAGTGGGAGTTTTGGGAGTTTCAAGAGACAAGCATCTGAAACCCAAACAAGTCAAATATTTACCCAGGAACTAGACAAACAACCTGCTTCTTTAGAAGGGTCTGGCAACCACAGGTGGTGGGGTGCAACCACAGGTGGTGGGGTGCACTCACAGGCTGGGGAAACAGGGGAAGTAATGGCTGCTTGCTTGTGTCCTCTCCCAAGTCCCCCTCCCCTCTATTGCAATATCTTCCCAGGCAGTCTTATTCCACATTCCGGAAGTCCAAGGCAAATGCTCGGGAATGGACAAAGATTCAAAAATGAGAAACATGGCTAGAGACAGGAAGATGCTGGGTGTTATCTTTTGTGTGATGACCTCTACAGCTGTGGCTATCCTGCTCCAGTACAGGGTGACACCAGGTCAGTTCTTCTAAGAGCTGGCTGTGCCCCCAGATGCAGTCAACAGCAGTCTCCCTCTCCGAGCCCAGAGAGGCCCCTTCCTGAAAGACATGCTCTATCTATCCTGAGAGAAAACAGAGACTCAGGGCTCAGCGCTCCTTGGTCCTGCTCAGCCCTGGGTAAAAGGACACCAGGTGCACAGTCTCTGTTGGCATGTGAGAGAGAAAGCACTGGGGAATGTTGGAGGAGAGGACCCGGAGGGCAGGGTCCAGGCTGCCCTGCCTCACTTGTGACTCAACCCAGTGCCTGGCAAAGGGCAGACACAGCACGTGACACTTGTTTTCTGAATGGACTGAGCCTGTTTTTGCAGGGACACCACCCAGACAGTGAAGAACCAGAGCAGGACAGAGGGGCCGRGTGGGCTGGAGAAAGCGAGTGTCAGAGGGGAGCCGCTGGAGGGCAGGAAGCCCTCTGACTCCACAGCCACAGATCAAAGTGAGGGAAGTTGGACAGAGAGGTCAGAGAGGTCAGCCAGCAGGGTACAGGGGCAATCAGCAGAGTGTGAGGAGAGGCCTGCCAGGCTGGGGTGAGGAGGGGCAGGAGTGCAGAGAGGAAGGGCAGTTTGGAGAGGCACTTCTGAAACTTGCCAGGGGCCTGCAGGACATGGGGTTTGGAGCCAGGGGGAGGGGTAGCAGTTGTTGCCAGACAGGGTGGCAGTTACGCAGGAAATGTTCTTGACAGATGTTCCTGTCTGTCACTCAACCCCACCTCCACACTAGGGACAGAACCCAAGACCACACATGCTAGGCAAGTGCTCTACCCCCAAGCTACATTCCCCACCTTCAAATCCCCTTTCAGGCATTTCCAGGCCCCATCCTTAGTTTCTCCTCTGAAAATGCAGCTCCCCCAAACCTCCCTGCTGGGCTAGGGGAGTCTATTACTTGCCCAGCACCCAGGCCCTGAGCTGGACCCCAGCACTGCAAAACCAAGAGCAAAAACTGGGCCTATTGCCAGGTGCAGGGGCATGCACCTGTGAACCCAGCTGCTGGGGAGGCTGAGGTTGGAGGCCAGAGCTTGGGATCAGGTTGGGCAACACAGAGAGACAAATCAACCAACCTCCCTCTCCAACTCTCTTGTCTCCTGTATCTTGTTGAGTCTCCAAGAAGTCCTGTTCCCATCTGCTGGGGATGGGCGGGTGCAAGTTCTGTCTTGTGATTTCCCTGGCTCAGCGCTGAGCTCAGTCACAAAGAGCAGGGTCTTTGCTGTATCCTGTTCAAATCCTGCCTCTGCCACTCACCAGCCCAGTGAACAAAAACGGAGGATATGACCTTGCTGATCCTCTGCTTCCTCATCTATAAAGTGGTGRTAATAACAATACCTACCTCACAATATTAGTTGAAGATTGTGTGATATACTCTAAACAAAAAGCTTAGCACAATGCCTGACACATACCAAATGCTTAATAAATGACTATCATTAAAATTAATGTATCCCCAATTTCCCTAGCTTTCCTTCACATGTTGTCTAGCAGTCAGATCTTAAGAACTGCACTACACTYGTGGTGGTGCATGTCTGAAATCCCAGGGACTTTGGAGGCTGAAGCAAGAGAATTGCAAGTTGGAGGCCAGCCTGGGCAATTTAGGGAGACCCTTCTCAAAATAAAAAATAAAAAGGGAATTTAAATACATGTATGTAAAAATATGTAAATAAAAATAAAAAGTGTTCCTGGGTTCAACTCCCATTACCAAAACAATAAATAAATAAATAAATAAATAATAAAACCTCTTGCTGGACATGGTGGCACACACTTGTAATCCCAGCAGCTCAGGAGGCTGAGCCAGGAGGATCATGAGTTCAAAACCAGCCTTAGCAAATTAGTGAGGCCCTAAAAAACTTAGCAAGACTCTGCCTCAAAGTAAAATATAAAAGGGGGCTGGTGGCAGTGGCTGGGGCTATACTTCAGTGGCAGAGAGCCTTAGCACCACATAAAACAAATAAATAAACAAAATAAAGTCTGTTGTCCATCTACAACTATAATTTTTTTTTTATAAAAGGGACGAGGATGTGGCTAAGTGATTAAGCATCCCTGGGTTCAGTCCCTGGTACCAATCAATCAACCAATTAAATCCTCTTAGTTTTCACAAAATTCCCAAGCAATAAAACTCTTCTCTGTTGGACACTCCTTCCTTCTTTCTCTTTCCTTCTTCCCACTCTCCCTTCCTTTCTTTTCGCAGTGCTGGGGTTTGAACCCAGGGCTTTACACATGCTAGACAAGTCCTCTACCACTGAACTTACTCCTCAACCCTTTGTATTTTTAATTTTTGAGACAGTATCTGGCTAAATTGTTTAGGCTAGCCTCAAACTTGCAATCCTCCTGATTTGGCCTCCCAAGTTACTGAGATTACAGGCATGTGCCAGTCCTATTAATTAATTAATTAGAGACAGGATCTCTGTGGGTTGCCCAGGCTGACCTTGAACTAACTTTCGACTCTCCTCCCTCAGCGTCTTGACCCACTGGGATTACAGGAGTGTATCACCATGCCTGGTTGTTCCTAACCTAAATAGGGAATTTTTCATGAGAACTAGCATCTAGCTATCACGTTTGGTGTCATGGGCCCTTGAGTCTTGAGTAGGAAAGTGGCCGACTTTCAGAGGACATGTGCCCTGGCCTAGGCACCAGGCTGCCAGCTGCTCACTCACTCTATTTCATTCCATCTTCACAACAACCCACTGAATGCAGTATTACTATCCCAGTTTTATGAGGACTTTGGCCAAAGGTGTTAAATCACCTGTGGAAGGTCACAGAGCCAGTGGGTAGAAAGTCTGGGAGTCGAACCAACTGAAACCCAGGGGTGTGTGTATGTGTGTGCACATAGCCCCAGAACCTCACCCTGATAGGCAAGGGATCCACCACTGAGCACACCCCGGCCCCGGGGATCACATGCATAACCCCTGCTACACCCGATCAGGTGAAGGAGGTCCAGGGCCTACCTGGCCCAGCCAGCCCAATCTGTGTGCCTCTGAGAGGCCTGTGGCTCGGCACCCAGATGCTCTGGGGCCTGTCCAAGGTGACTGGCTGCAGGCAATCAGCTCCCACCTTTCCCATCTTGGCTTTGTTCCTGCTTTAATCCCTTTACTGTCACCACATCTGGCACAGAGGAACTGCCCGAAAAATTCTGTGTTGATCTAATGAGGCACGGAGAAGAGGAGCAGAAAAGGGAAAGGAGGAAAGGCCAGGGAAAGGGATGGAAAGAAGGAGGGGAAGAGCTAGGGACAGAGAGGGCAAGAGTGGAAGAAAAACAGGGCTGGAGGTGGCTGGTGGAGGAGAGTAAGCCTGCCCCAGCTCTGACACCTCTGACACAGAGGGACCTCAGAGAGTCCAGAGGTCCCCCAGTGCCCCCAGTAAGTTACCCTGGCCCTGCCTTCTTCCCCGAGGCTAAGGGCAGCCAGAAGCTTCCTCTGGCCCTGCTTGCTCTCTTGCCCTGCGTGCTCAGGAATGGGCTCTGGCTCTGTCCCCAAGCTTGGAGCACCAGTTTCCTGGTGGCCCCAGAGCTCAGTCTAACCTTCCTGCACCACTTCCCCTTCCTGCCTCCAGGTCCCTGGAGACTAAGCCATCCAGCATCCTGACCCTGCCTGGGCCACCTCCATCACACCTCTGCCAGCTTCCCAAGGCTGTTTCCAGCCTGGTGCATCTTCCCAGGAGCCCCAGGGGAGGTGSGAGCCTGGGACCTGCCCTCCCTAACACCCTTGCCTTGGAGAAGCAAGTGAGGACAGCCCAGAGTCTGCAGCAGGAGTGAGGTGACAACTCAGGGATGTCACTGAATGGAGGCTAGGAGGAGTCAGGCCTGGGCCACCCGATAACGTTGGTGGAACTTCTACAGTAAACAAGTTCTCTTCTCTCTCCCAAGGGATGTGTCCTCCAGCACTAGCCAAGGGGCTGGAACAGCCTCTACCACCTCGGCCTCTCARGTTCCCACCCCCGGGCCAGGCCTGGCTCCTCTCCGGGATGGCTGGAGTGCCATCGGGCTGGAGTGCCACCACCTTCCACCCGCGGTGGCTCCCAGCTCCCGGTCGGCCAGGGGACCGCCTTTAACAGCCAAAGGTCCCAATAAGACGGGTATTGCCGACCCCACTTCACAGTGCGGAAAAGGAGGTTCCGAGGTTAAGTGACTCTCCGGGTCGAGTCGCCGGGATCCCAGCCCGGGTCACCCGGTCCGCCCGCGCCGCCCAGGCAGATGGGCAGCGAAGCCCAGAGCACCGTCCCGCCGCCCCCGCCCCCGCCCGGGACTCTGGCCCCCCCGGCCCTCCTGGACCCTCACCATCGCCGCGCTGCTCCGCGCCCGCTGCCCCGGAGGAAGCCGAGGGCGGGGCCGGCGCTGGACCTTCCGAGAGGCGCGACCCAGACCTGGTAGAATCGAAAGCGGCAGGCGACAGACAGCCAAAGGTCCGCGGGGCGCCTCCTGCCGGGCTGCGGGCGCCGGAATATGGATGCCACCTGATGGACGGAGGGGTCTGTGCTTGGCGGAGGGAGCTAGTTTGGTGGATAGGGATGAGCCTGCTGTGTGGGGCTATGCCCAGTGGGTGGGCCATGCCCGGTGGGTGGAGGTATACCTGGTAGGTGGAGGTATGCCGGGTGGGTGGGGCTATGTCTGGTGGACGGAGGTATACCTAGTGGGTGGGCTATGCCTGGTGGAAGGGCTATGCCTGGTGGATTGGCTATGCCTGGTTGATGGGCTATGGCTGGCGGATGGAGATATACCTGGTGGGTGGGGCTATACTAGGTGGGTGGGCTATGCCTGGTGGATGGAGGTATACCTGGTGGAAGGGTTATTCCTGGTGGATGGGCTATACCTGGTGGGTGGGACTATTCCTGGTGGGTATGTTATACATGGTGGGTGGGGCTATACTAGATGGGTGGGCTGTGCCTGGTGAGTGGGGCTGTGTCTCTGGTAGATTGGACTATTCCTGGAGGTAAAGCTATTCCTGGTGGATTAGGTTGTCTCTAGTCAGCCTGCGCTAGGTGAATCTGCATGCTGGCCACCCCTCGGAAGCCCACTATAGGAAGTGGCACAGCSGTCATAGTAGCACTGTGGCCCTCCCAGGAGGCATAGGAAGTGGGTTCATGGGCTTAACAGGGAGGTGTCATTCACTCACTCATCACGCATATGTGCCTGCCCCATCCATTCCTTACTGGGCCCTGGAGACATCCCCACAGGACAGGAGGGGCTTTGCCAGCTTGGTAAGTAACTGATCCATAACTGGCCAGTCCCAACATCCCCACTCCGAGTCTCAGTGAGCACAGATCTGCACTCCACTGTGCAGGGCCTGCGTCCCAAGCTTAGATGGTGCATCCAGGAGTGCACTGAGGAGAGTAAGGACTGCAGTCTCCGGAAGCCTGCCTTCCCAGAGTTCAGAGAATGTTCCAGAATATGACTTCCAATCAGTCCCAATCCTCTCAATCCGACCCCTTCCCCACTCTTCCTAACAAGCTGCTTCCAGTGCTGTGAAGACTATGGAGGAAACAGGACAGGAACCCTACCACCCACCAGGCGACTGGGCACTGGACAGAGCCCCAGGGACAGTGGGACCTGGTGGGGAGACGGAAGATCAGAAGACAGAAAGCTCATTGTGCACGCGGGGAAAGGAGGGCCACAGGACTGTCCTGTGACCCTGACTGTGCCCAGCCTGGGGTGTGGGGGAGAGATGCTCACCCCCTCAGAACAGCCAAGACCCAGGGCCTGCTCAACCTCAGGGAAGGGACAGACAAAAGACAAACAGAATGCTTAACTTCCAGAAAATGAAAACAGGCTAATTCCTTCAACTTTTGGCTCTGGATTACAACAGGGCCATAGAAGGGAGATAGATGGCAATGGCAGCAGAACCAGGAGGCCCTCCACCAGGCCTAACATTGCTCAGGAGCGCTTCATGACTTAGCCAGTGCTTCCAAGGAGAGGAACGAAGGGACGTGGCAGGGCCCAAGGGGGACACTGAGTCTCGCACGTCACTCTAAGGTATTGTTGAAGGGTTTGCATTTTCCTTATGTCAAGATCCTCAAGAAAATTCTTGTTCTTGAGAACTGTGACAATATAGAACAGGGTGGAATGAAGAAAGTTGATGTGGTGGCCATGCCTGTATCCCAGCGACTCAGGAGGAGTGCAAGGGTGAGGTCAGCCTGGGCAACCTAGAAAGACCCTGTCTCAAAATAAAAAATATAAAGGACTGAGGGTGTCGCTCCGTGGTAAAGTGCCTGCCTAGCACAGGGAGGCCCTGAGTCCAGTCCCCAGCACTATAAATAAAACAAAAAAAGACAGRGACCCCCCCTTCCTTCTGCAAACATGCTTTCCACCCCTCCAGCAGCTTGGGCCTGGACAGCAGAGCCTTGGCCAGAGGGCAGCCCAGGAGGAAGGAATGCAAGGCCCAGGGCTAACTGCGGAGGGAGAACACCTCACACACAGGGACACTGAAAGGTCTTTATTGCCCACCAGCCACCAACAGTTTCCCAGCCACACACAGGGTCCTCTGGGTCTTCCCAAGCAGCTCTAGGGACCAGTCCAGCTCTCGCCTTCTGGGCATCAAGTTGCTCCTGGGGCGTGGCAGGGGCCTCACCAGGTAGCGTTCCTTGGAGGAGTGGGGCAGGGCAGCCTAGGTGGGGATGGCACCCGTGCTGAAGAGCACGATGAGGAGGATGAAGATGAACACGACCACGCAGATGAGCACGATCATCTTCACATTCTTCCACCAGAACTTGCGTGCCACCTTCTGCGACGTGGTCTTGAAGTGCTCTGACTGTCAGGGACAAGGCCAGGTGAGGGGCCTGGGGCCTGCCCACTGGGCATAAGCCCAGGCAACCCGCTGTGAAGCAGAAGTTGCCCTCCCCTCCCACCTTCACAGATGCACTGATAGCAGGGTCACAGCCAGGCCTAAGCTGAGGTTTCTGGGCTTCAGGGACCCTCCATCTGAATGTGTCAGGGACTAGGAGTTCCCCTGCTCTTGATGTGACCCTAGCAGCAGTCTGTCTCTGGGAAGGCAGACCTTGGGGCTGAGGGCTGCAGGTTCCAGGTGAGTACATCCCCTGGCTCCAGGACTCCTTGTCCCCTGGGAGCTGTGGAAGCTGGAGGGAGGACCAGAGCAGTACAGGGGGTTGAAGTAGGGGGCGCTCCTCTTCCCCCAGCTGCACCGGCACACTTGTATCTAGATGAGGCTGCAGAGGGGCACTCAGTCTCCAGAGACCAAGGAGCGATAAGCATCCCACACACAAGTCTGAAAAGTCAGATCCAGTCTCTCCGCGAGACATGGGGCCTGAGGCTGCAGCCTCATCTGAACTTGGAAATGACTTTCTCCCTTAGCCATTGGCCTGGGCCCCTAGCTGGAAAGGAAAGGCCTAACAAGATGAGTGGAGGTATTCCAGCCTTTGCAGATCCTGGCTTCAAAGGGTTTCACTGCTCTTTCCAGATTCTCTTTAAGGCCTAYTCAGCAAGACTCCAGGAGGTTTTCACCCCCACCTAATAACCCTTGGGAATGCCAAAGGCCAGAGGATTTTCCCAAAGCTTTTTCCAGGCCAAAATGACTCAAAGGCAGGCATCAAAGGGAGAATCCGTTTCAGAGGAAAGACTGAGCTGTGGCAAAAAATGTCTCCTCCCCAAGCCCAGTTACTGGATCCAWTTCCTGGACTCTAAACCAATCCAGAGTGGTGCTGAACCAGAATTGGGGACTCATGTCAATTCCCAGAACAGTCAAGAACCTCCCTCCCCAGCAGGCTCCCCATCTCACGGTGGCTTCCAGATCCTCGGTCTTGTTGCGGAGATGGTCCAGGTTTTCCCCACGGGCCAGAATCCGCTCCACATTCTGGGTCATGATATTCTTGACTCCCTCCACCTCACTCTGCAGGTTCCGCACCTGGTCATGTCCCCTGCCTCCGCCAGCCTCCTCCTGGAGGGCAACATAGGGGTTAGTGAGGCCAGAGGAGGAGGATCCAAGCGGCCAAGGAGGTACAGCGCAGGGTGGATTCCAGTTTTTTGCAATGCTTGAGTTGTTTACAGAGAATGTTTTCATGTATCGCTTGCGTCATCAAACACAAGTGCATTTTTAAGCCCCAGAAAGTGAGCTGAAGCTAGACAGAGAGGACCAACCTTCTTTTTCAGTTTCAGGGCCACTGACTCTTTCCCGGGTACTTGGTGAGGACTCTGGGGCCCCAGAGCTGGTGTACAGTGTCACTCTCCAGTGCACAGCCAAATGCTACTTTCCAGTTCCCAGAGCCACCCCTTTCCTCGATTCCACAGGTTCTCACTAGAAGAGTGGGCTCTGGCGTAGGAGCCCTCCCTGGTCCAGCCCTTCTCCCTCTCCAGGCAGCAGTGGGAGAGCTGTTCTGCTCCTGGACCTCCAGGCAGGGAGCCTAGCTCCATGGCTGAGACCCAGCAAGGCCCCATGAGGGGCTGCCGCTGAAGTTGCCCACACTTCAGTGTCCCCACCACTAGGGAGGCTGTACAGGCGCCTTCTGCTCATGCAGATACTAAGGAAAACAGTGCCTGTCACGAGGCACTGGGGAAGTGGGGCGCAGGCCTCCCTGKTGCAGGCCTGCTTGTGCTGAGGCCTCAGATCAGGGTTTTGCACAAGGAGGAAAAACAGTATTAGGCTCTCCCCTTGATGGTCCTTCCGTGGGCCTCCAGAAACATGCCAGGGTGAGGGTTGGGCCAGATTATCAGGAGAACCAACTGGTTCTTGTCCTGGCTGTCTTCCTATTCACAGAGAAGGGGCTGATCCTTCGATTCAGGGGACAGATGAATCTACTGGGCGTCTGCACAGGGTCACGGTGAAAGGCCAAAGGGAGAAACTACCCCCTCCTGCCCTGGAATCTGAGCCGGAGTGGCAGAGGCKCTGGCTGCCTGGTGTCACAACACCGGCCAGGCCCAGCTGGAGCGGGAGGGGGGAGGGCGCTGGCGGACTCCGAGGAATTCCGACCCCCACCCCCACCGAGCCCTGCTCGGGTCCAGCCGAGGTCAGCCGAGCAGCAGGAGCCCCCGCCCAGGCGACGCAGGGCATTGGCGGCCAAGCTGTCAACGCCGGGAGGCCCCGGGCGGMGCGAGCCCAGCCTCTGGCTGCCACCAGCTCGCCCTTCGCGCCCCGGCCAGCCCCGGGCCCGCACCCCGGCCCGGCCCGGCCCCCAGCCCGCTCACCATGTCTGGGCGGCCGCGTCCGTCGGCAGCAGAACTCGCCCGTCGGCTTCCTGCTGCCCGCGGCCGTCGCTCACTTCCTGCTGCTGCAGYCCGCCCGCCCCCGCCCCCCGCATCCCGGCGAGGCCACACCTAGGCAGGTCCCCAGGTAGGCGGCGGCCACGGCTCCTCCCGAGCCCAGGCTCCCCGGCGCCCGGGGTCTTCCKACTCCCGCGGGAGAAAGGAAGGGTCTGGCCGCCCTCCCAGGTCCACGTCTCCCTTGGCGTCGGGGATACTAATGCCAGCGCTGGACACCCGGATCCGCGTGAGCACCCTGGGGTCAGCTGGAAAGAGAATGGAGGTGTGAAGCTTTCTTACTGGACGACCCTGTTCCCGGTTCCCTGGCCGAAAGCACTAAAATCCCCCCCACTTCTTTGGATTGTCAGTTCAGGCTCTGAGGCCAGCAAGCTGGGGCGACTAGCTGTGCGACAGAGCACGACCACCTCGGCCTTTGCAGGTGCCCAGGCTGAGCTCAAACATCGGTGGCAGGAGCAGAAAGAGGCATGTGGGGGGTGCCTAGCACGCGGCGGGAGAAAGGAGGAGAYGTTCAGGAAATGGGGGCCTGTCACCCCTCGCCTTGCCAGGTGCATTTCCCTGCAGGGTCACTGACCTCCAGGCAGTGGTCAGATAACTGCCCTGTGGACCACAGAGGGGGCCCAGGGCAAAGGAATTTTCCACCGACCTGGCTCTGAGCCAGAGAAAATCCACTTTTCCTGGATGGTGTTTATCAAGACAGAAGAACAAGAACAGGGCCACATAGGAGGGAACCAATATTCTTGTCCTTCCCAAAAGAAATCCCAGTTCTGAGAGGGGATGTCAGCTTCTCCAACAAATACTTTTTTTTAAAGGCCTTTATAAGTTTTGGACCCATTTGGAGACTTTTTTTTCCCTTTGTGTACATTTATTTTGAGGTGTTAATGATTGAACCCAGGCCCTCATGAATGAACTATATATCCCAACCACTGCCCGCTCAGTTTTAACTGTAACAGAGCAACTTGTACACTTTTAACATTTAAAACTGAGCATCACCCTCCCTTTCAAGTGAAACCAAAGAAAATTTAAAAATAAACAGGAACAAGGGGCTGGAGATATAGCTCAGTTGGTAGGGTGCTTGCCTCACATGCCCAAGGCCCTGGGTTCAATCCCCAGCAAATAAATAAATAAATAAACAAATAAATAAATAAATAAACAAACAAACAGGAACAAGATTACACTAGGGAATTATCACATCTAAATAAGATCGTACTATGTAATCTCAGCTACTCAGGAGGCTGAGGTAGGAGGATAGCAAGTTGGAGTTCAGCCTCAGAAATTTAGTGAGACTCTGTCTCATGATAAATAAAGAATGGGAATGTATCTCAAGTGGCAAAACAGTCCCAGTACTGGGTGGGGCAGGGAACATTCTACAGGTTGATTTTCCCATCAAGTGGCAAGACTCAAGTGCTCATGGGGAGAGAGGGTTTTTGTTTTTGTTTTTATTTGCAGCATTGAAGATTGAACCCATAACAACCCATTTAGCTACATCCTCATTGAGCAACATCCTCGACCTATCTATCTATCTAACTATTTATTTTCATGGTAGTGGAGATTAATCGTAGATGTGCTTTACCGCTGAGTCCTTTTTATTTTTTATTCGGAGACAAGGTTTGACTAAGTTGCCTGGCTTGGCTTGGAACTTGCAATCCTCCTGTCTTATCCCCCCAGGGTTGCTGGGATTATGGACATGCGCCACCACCCAGGGCCTGAAAGAGTCATTTTATACTATAAGTATGTCCACCAAAATGACAACTGACTGACCCTGCCAAAGGAGAAGCCATGTCATCCAGATGCCTTCTAACCCACTTAAACATCAAGAATAGTTTTTTGGCACTGGGATTAAAGTGGCCTGGTGCCTACTAAGCACACACTCTACCACTGAGCTGTACATCTAACATGAGACGCTTTAATAAATTCAAATTTACACTGGGCTGGGGATGTGGCTCAAGCGGTAGCGCGCTCGCCTGGCATGTGTGCGGCCCGGGTTCGATCCTCAGCTCCACATACAAACAAAGATGTTGTGTCCGCCGAGAACTAAGAAATAATTATTTAAAAAATT